TCATCAAAGACCCGAACCATAGACTATTTTCTCTGCTGCTGCACAGCAAGAGGTACTTACTTTGTGTATTTCTTTTATTTTTTTCTAGTAATTCATTGTTATTGATTATTGCATTGTTGGGTTTTGAGTTTGCAAGAAAGGCATTTCACTGTACTTGTGCATGTGATATTAAAACTTGAAACTATGAAACTTTCTATGAATTTGAGTGGTTGCATTTCTCCAGCTTCATACCTCAGGTTTTTACCAAAACAGTGGCGGGGCACACACTTTTTTATTTATTGTTTGAATCACATATTGCCTATTTAAATTGCACTTTAAGAAAGGTTATCTAGAAACGAAGCAAGAGAACTAGAAAGTGATTCCGGTATTATAACCACCACCAACTCTATTTTGTCCTGTAATACACATTCTCCTACCGACTGGCATAATTGTTCACAGAGTATCTATTTATACAGGAGGATATGCACTACATCCATAAACAAGGTGGATCCCCAAATTTAGAATTCCAGAGATCCCAAGGTTGAGCTGAGGGTCAGGTGAGATCAGAGTGCCCTGTTCAGACATGATTGGTATCAGCAGTGGAGTGTGATTACGAAGGAATGTGGCTGTTTCGGTCAGATCAGAGCACCCTCTGTCCTCTCTCCTCTTTCCCTTGCTCTGTGTCTGGTAGTGAGTGAGCGGTGTGGGTCAGAGTGGAGGTGAGCAGTAACGGAACACCCAGGTAGGAATTCAGTCAGGGACTCTCCGACAGTCTGCGGTCTTATCTCCTGACCGTCCTGTGGAACGGCCCGTTAACCCTGCCTACTGCAGCCTCTACAATGTCCATAGTAGTGACACTTGTCATGACCATTTTCTACCACTTGTCTCTAATGTGATGTTATGGGTTATTATATGGTCAAAGTTCCATAACATAATAACGGGGACTATTAGAATGCTCATTGTCATTAACGAAGCATACAGTGGGGAAAAAAAGTATTTAGTCAGCCACCAATTGTGCAAGTTCTCCCACTTAAAAAGGAGAGAGGCCTGTAATTTTCATCATAGGTACACGTCAACAATGACAGACAAAATGAGAATTTTTTTTCCAGAAAATCACATTGTAGGATTTTTTATGAATTTATTTGCAAATTATGGTGGAAAATAAGTATTTGGTCAATAACAAAAGTTTCTCAATACTTTGTTATATACCCTTTGTTGGCAATGACACAGGTCAAACGTTTTCTGTAAGTCTTCACAAGGTTTTCACACACTGTTGCTGGTATTTTGGCCCATTCCTCCATGCAGATCTCCTCTAGAGCAGTGATGTTTTGGGGCTGTCGCTGGGCAACACGGACTTTCAACTCCCTCCAAAGATTTTCTATGGGTTGAGATCTGGAGACTGGCTAGGCCACTCCAGGACCTTGAAATGCTTCTTACGAAGCCACTCCTTCGTTGCCCGGGCGGTGTGTTTGGGATCATTGTCATGCTGAAAGACCCAGCCACGTTTCATCTTCAATGGCCTTGCTGATGGAAGGAGGTTTTCACTCAAAATCTCACGATACATGGCCCCATTCATTCTTTCCTTTACACGGATCAGTCGTCCTGGTCCCTTTGCAGAAAAATAGCCCCAAAGCATGATGTTTCCACCCCCATGCTTCACAGTAGGTATGGTGTTCTTTGGATGCAACTCAGCATTCTTTGTCCTCCAAACACGACGAGTTGAGTTTTTACCAAAAAGTTCTATTTTGGTTTCATCTGACATTCTCCCAATCCTCTTCTGGATCATCTAAATGCACTCTAGCAAACTTCAGACAGGCCTGGACATGTACTGGCTTAAGCAGGGGGACACGTCTGGCACTGCAGGATTTGAGTCCCTGGCGGCGTAGTGTGCTACTGATGGTTGGCTTTGTTACTTTGGTCCCAGCTCTCTGCAGGTCATTCACTAGGTCCCCCCGTGGGGTTCTGGGATTTTTGCTCACCGTTCTTGTGATCATTTTGACCCCACGGGGTGAGATCTTGCGTGGAGCCCCAGATCGAGGGAGATTATCAGTGGTCTTGTATGTCTTCCATTTCCTAATAATTGCTCCCACAGTTGATTTCTTCAAACCAAGCTGCTTACCTATTGCAGATTCAGTCTTCCCAGCCTGGTGTAGGTCTACAATTTTGTTTCTGGTGTCCTTTGACAGCTCTTTGGTCTTGGCCATAGTGGAGTTTGGAGTGTGACTGTTTGAGGTTGTGGACAGGTGTCTTTTATACTGATAACAAGTTCAAACAGGTGCCATTAATACAGGTAACGAGTGGAGGATAGAGGAGCCTCTTAAAGAAGAAGTTACAGGTCTGTGAGAGCCAGAAATCTTGCTTGTTTGTAGGGGACCAAATACTTATTTTCCACCATAATTTGCAAATAAATTCATTAAAAATCCTACAATGTCATTTTCTGGAGAAATAAATTCTCAATTTGTCTGTCATAGTTGACGTGTACCTATGATGAAAATTACAGGCCTCTCTCATCTTTTTAAGTGGGAGAACTTGCACAATTGGTGGCTGACTAAATACTTTTTTCCCCCACTGTAGCTATATCATGACTTAATTATAACGCTGTACATTTTCAATTAAAGTTAATGTTACTAGCCAGAGAAGGTTAGTGTAGTCACATTTGATGTGAAATGTACATTAAATATGCTTTCACAAATGCATTACACTTTTATAAATAGATCACTTAATTTGTGAATTGTAAGCCATTCAGGTCTCTCGGTCTCACACGCTCTCGCTCCTCTCTTTCTCACAATGCAGTTGTCATGTAGTTCGAGGCTGAGATATTTCAACCAACAGGTTTCTAAAGTTCTGGTGGAGCTGACATTGGAAAGGTGCTACATAGATACTGATTGAGGATTGAAATAACAACCATTGAGACTCTTGGTTAATGTTTAAACGGATGGAATCCCTGTCTATTGAAAGCACAGTTGCTCTGCTCAGTTATATTGTGCAGGCTGAATCAGACTACTACTTTAACTTTCATTCCCACTATCTGAAGCCACATCATGTAATGTACAATACAATATGAAAAACCCATAGAGGATGCACATATGTATGTTTACATTACAAACATCAAATGGGTGTGTGTGAAAAGGTGCTTGTCAGTGTTAGCTATTTCTCTGAACCACACCTCTCAGTACAGAACACCTCATTACCCATCAGTCTAACTGGTTTGACTAATATGCTGCGACCCTACTGTAGGCCTAGCTAGTCCTACTATGCCTTACTGTTTAGTTAATACCATTAGCTCTGCAGATGTCACCTTGTGCTTGTAGTGGTCACATACAGTGCCTTCAGAAAGTATTCACACCCTTTGACTTTTTCCACATTTTGTTGTGTTACAGTCTGAATTTAAAATGGATTACACTTAGATTTTCTGTCACTGGCCTATGCACAATAAGTAGAATTATGTTTTTAGAAATGTTTACTAATTAATAAAAAATGAAAAGCTGAAGTGTCTTGAGTCAATAAGTATTCAACCCCTTTGTTATGGCAAACCTACATAAGTTCAGGAATAAACATTTGCTAAACAAGTCACATAAATTGCATGGATTCACTCTGTGTGCAATAGTGTTAACATGCTTTTTGAATGACTACCTCATCTCTGTACCCCACACATACAGATAATTGTAAGGTCCCTCAGTTGAGCAGTGAATTTGATACACAAGTGAAAATAAGACAGCCTGTACAGAATAAAACGATTCCAAAATATGCACCCTGTTTGCAACAAAGCACTAAAGTAATACTGCAAAAAATGTGGCAAAGCATTTCACTTTTTGTATTGAATACAAAGTTATGTTTGGGACAAATACAACACATTGCTGAGGACCACTCTCCAGATTTTCAAACATAGTGGCGGCTGCATCGTGTTATGGGTACGCTTGTAATCGTTAAGGTCTGAGGAGTTTAATCAGGATAAAAAGAAAAGGAATGGAGCTAAGCACAGACAAAACCCTAGTGGTAAACCTGGTTCAGTCTGCTTTGCAACAGACAATGGGAGATTAATTCACCTTTCAGTACGACAATAACCTAAAGCACAAGGCCAAATCTACACTGGAGATGCTTACCAAGAAGACAGTAAATGTTCCTGAGTGGCTGAGTTACAGTTTTGGATTAAATCTGCTTGAAAATCTATGGCAAGTCTTAAATGGTTTTCTAGCAGTGATCAACAACCAATTTGACAGAGCTTGAAGAATTTTGAAAATAATAATGGGCAAATATTGTACAATCCAGGTTTGCAAAGCTCTTAGAGACTTACATTTTACATCGACATTTTAGTCATTTTAGCAGACACTCTTATCCAGAGCGACTTACAGTTAGTGTATACATTATTTTTTACTTTTTTTCATATTTACCCAGAAAGACTCACAGCTGTAACTGCTGCCAAATGTGATTCTAATATGTATTGACTCGGGTTTGAATACTTATGTACATTTGCTAAAATTTCTAAAAACATTTAGTCATTATGGGGTATTGTGTGTGTAGATGGGTGAGAAATTAATGAAATCAATTTTGAATTCCGGCTGTAACAACAAAATGTGGAATAAGTCAAGGGGTATGAATACTTTCTGAAGGCACTGTATTTGACATTTTTGTGGTGTTTTTTACAGGCATAATACTGTGACAGGCTTTTGCAGTGTTTTGATTTGTTTTCTCTTGTTCTGTTAATACTGTCAGTGAAAGTTGTGTGTGTCTACTGCATTCAACACCATTTCCTGTGTAATCATAGGACACCACTGAGGCCTGTAGTTGGAAAGACATCCAGCACAGTTCACAAATGGATCTAACTGGAGGAAGTAGTATTTTTGTTTGAGGGCAGAGAGATTGAGAGAAAGGGGATATGACGAAAAGCATGTAATGGTTTTATTAGGCTGTGATCAGGGTGACTGATGGAGAGAGCGACCCCCGAGCGCTCACTGACCCCACCCCTAATGATTCCCTTAATTCCAGGCCATGATTGCTTTTAGAAATCCCAATTAGGAGGCATGTGTGAGAGCCGGAGCATGGTAAGAATGGCTTTAATTGCGATGAGTTATCATCTAGACCAGTGTAATTGAGCCCCCATCTTAAGGGGTGGCACTTCTGACAAATTGATTTAATACCGAAGCGATTCTCCCGTCCGTAATGGTGGATCGGGTCCTTCTCTCCACGCTGGGCCACAGGCGCAGAGGCAATTGTGTGCGGTGATTACTAACTGCTCTGTAATCGCTCTCTGTCGTCTGTGTGCGCAAGAGGACTCAGACACACACCCAGGACCCATGGCAGGGCACATAGGTCTTAGCCTATGCCTCAGGTAGCCCTGAACATACCCATCATACTGAAGCACTGTAGGGAGAGAGAGAGAGAGAGAGGGCTGATATGGAGAGTCACTAGAAGTCAATACGACATCAAATTTTATTGGTCACATACACATATTTAGCAGATGTTATTGCAGGGTGTAGCGAAATGCTTGTGTTCCTAGCTCCAACAGTGCAGGAATATCTAACAATTCACAACAATGCACACGTCTAAAAGTAAAAGAATAGCATTAAGAAATATATACAGTTGAAGTCGGAAGTTTACATACACCTTAGCCAAATACATTTAAGCTCAGTTTTTCACAATTCCTGACATTTAATCCTAGTAACAATTCCCTGTTTTAGGTCAGTTAGGATCACCACTTTATTTTAAGAATGTGAAATGTCAGAATAATAGTAGAGAGAATTATTTATTTCAGCTTTTATTTATTTCATCACATTCCCAGTGGGTCAGAAGTTTACATACACTCAATTAGTATTTGGTAGCATTGCCTTTAAATTGTTTAACTTGGGTCAAACGTTTCAGGTAGCCTTCCACAAGCTTCCCACAATAAGTTGGGTGAATTTTGGCCCATTCCTCCTGACAGAGCTGGTGTAACTGAGTCAGGTTTGTAGGCCTCCTTGCTCACACACGCTTTTTCAGTTCTGCCCACAGATTTTCTATAGGATTGAGGTCAGGGCATTGTGATGGCCACTCCAATACCTTGACTTTGTTGTCCTTAAGCCATGTTGTCACAAATTTGGAAGTATGCTTGGTGTCATTGTCCATTTGGAAGACCCATTTGCGACCAAGCTTTAACTTCCTGACTGATGTCTTGATGTTGCTTCAATATATCCACATAATTTTCCTTCCTCATGATGCGATCTATTTTGTGAAGTCCACCAATCCCTCCTGCAACAAAGCACCCCACAGCATGATGCCGCCACCCCGTGCTTCACGGTTGGGATGGTGTTCTTCGTCTTGCAAGCACCCCCTTTTTCCTCCAAAATAAAAACGATGGTCATTATGGCCAAACAGTTCTATTTTTGTTTCATCAGACCAGAGGACATTTCTCAAAAAAGTACGATCTTTGTCCCCATGTGCAGTTGCAAACCGTAGTCTGGCTTTTGTATGGCGGGTTTGGAGCAGTGGCTTCTTCCTTGCTGAGCGGCCTTTCAGGTTATGTCGATATAGGACTCGTTTTACTGTGGATATAGACACTTTTGTACCTGTTTCCTCCAGCATCTTCACAAGGTCCTTTGCTGCTGTTCTGGGATTGATTTGCACTTTTCGCACCAAAGTATGTTAATCTCTAGAAGACAGAACATGTCTCCTTCCTGAGTGGTATGACGGCTGCTTGGTCCCATGGTGTTTATACTTGCGTACTATTGTTTGTACAGATTAATTTTGTACCTTCAGGCGTTTGGAAATTGCTCCCAAGGATGAACCAGACTTGTGGAGGTCTACCATTTTTTTTCTGAGTTCCAGGCTGATTTCTTTTGATTTTCCCATTATGTCAAGCAAAGAGGCACTGAGTTTGAAGGTAGGCCTTGAAATACATCCACAGGTACACCTCCAATTGACTCAAATGATGTCAATTAGCCTATCAGAAGCTTCTAAAGCCATGCCATCATTTTCTGGAATTTTCCAAGCTGTTTAAAGGCACAGTCAACTTAGTGTGTAAACTTCTGACCCACTGGAATTGTGATACATTGAATTATAAGTCAAATAACCTGTCTGTAAACAATTTTTGGAAAGATGACCTGTGTCATGCACAAAGTAGATGTCCTAACCGACTTGCCAAAACTATAGTTTGTTAACAAGAAATTTGTGGAGTGTTTGAAAAACAAGTTTTAATAACCTAAGTGTATGTAAACTTCCGACTTCAACTGTAAATATTAGGACGAGCAATGTCGGAGGGGCATTGACTAAAATACAGTAGAATAGAATACAGTATATTCAAATGAAATGAGTAAAGCAGTATGTAAACATTGTTAAAGTGACCAGTGATTCTATGTATATCGGGCAGCAGCCTCGAAGGTGCAGGGTTGAGTAACCGGGTGGTAGCCGGCTAGTGATGGCTATTTAAAAGTCTGATGGCCTTGAGATAGAAGCTGTTTTTCAGTACAGCTTTGATGCACCTGTACTGACCTCACCTTCTGGATGGTAGCGGGGTGAACAGGCTGTGGCACAGGTGGTTGATGTCCTTGATGAGCTTTCCTGTGACATCGGGTGCTGTAGGTGTCCTGGAGGGCAGGCGGTGTGTGTGTGCCTCCGGTGATGCGTTGGGCAGACTGCTCCACCCTCTGGAGAGCCCTGTGGTTGCGAGCGGTGCAGTTGCCAAACCAGGTGGTGATACAGCCCGACAGGATTCTCTCAATTGTGCATCTGTAAAGGTTTGTGAGGGTCTTAGGGGCCAAACCGAATTTCTTCAGCCTCCTGAGGTTGAAGAGGCACAGTTTTGCCTTCTTTACCACTCTGTCTGTGTGGGTGGACCATTTCAGATTGTCAGTGATGTGTACGCCAAGGAACTTGAAGCTTTTCACCTTCTCCACTGTGGTCCTGTCGATGTAGATAGGGGCGTGCTCCCTCTGCTGTTTCCTGAAGTCCACGTTCAGCTCCTTCATTTTGTTGAAGTTGAGGGACATGGTGAGGCAGTGGCTAGGGAGTATTGTTGATGATGTCACCAAGTACTTGCTCACAGTTGGCTGTTCCTTAGAGAAGGTGGAGCATGTACAGAGTGCCATGGAGGTCTTCTCTGCAATGCAGAGCATGTGCTCTCAGGTCACTAAACTGGTTGGGCCTGTTTTGACGGCAGGATTCGTTCTGAGCCTGTTTCAACTTGTCAGTGATTCTCTCTATTTATTTTGTGTGGGGTACAAATTAAAACAAAAACATATATAAAGTAATGTGAAACAGATACATTTCTGACATTGTTGTTATGGTGTGAATCAGTGTTAGACGTCTTCGCAATTCACCATCAATAATCTAATACAGGGTGATGATCCAGATGGCGGTCAGTTTAACAAACAACGCAATTGTCTGTCTTTCCCCTGCAGACCTACACACACCACACATCTGACTACTGCACTGATAGACAGACACACACTGAACTTTCCATGGCAACACCTCAAGGACATCTCTCTCTCTGCCTGTCTCTCTCGCTCTCCCGCTCATCTCTTTGAGTCCATTAGTAAGGTTTTGGCCTCCAATGTGTAATGAGAGGTATGGCATAGGTTATACTAATGATACATAACCCTTCCTGATGACAACAGTGAGTTGGATCAGTTCCTCTTTGGGATAATGCTGTTTCTTCTTGATTTTTGTTGCTTTCGTTTTGTTTTTTTGTTACTGTTCGAATGTTGACGATGGGAACTGTCTGATGCCAGGAACAGTAGAATTGGCACTTTGTTTCTAGTGCCTTCGTTGAAGTCACAGGCTTTTCCTTTGTAGCTTTTTACAAGCCCACTGTCATTACTTTCACCTCGTATGGTGAGTCTGGAGGTGGCTATAGCTACTGTCTTGTACTTAGTGTTCAGTCTCTTCCTGAAACTCTGATCTCCTCCTAACAATCTCCATGTCCTGATGATTTCCTGCAAGTTTGATTACTCACACACAGTACACTGGATACGTTATTGTACTCCTATATCTTGAGTAATAGTAATCTCATCATATAACTGTATGTAAGAAATGAACTTATCTTATTTTCTCCCCTTTTTTTCTGTCTGTCTCTCTCTGCCTCTGTCTACCTAGGGGCGGACCGGGCGGCATGAGCTGGTCACCTTTCTGGATAACAAAGAGAAGATGGCATCGAAGAAGAAGACTGGCGTGATAGTGGGGGTCCTCATCACTCTGCTTGTCTTGGCAGCCGTGGCAGGAATCCTCATCTGGCTCTTTGCTAGTGAGTACAACTTTACTATTTAGTCTGAGACTAATGCATGTAAAAATCATAGACTGTAGGTACTATCACTCAGTCTGACTGAGTGAAAATGCAAAGGATGGCCCAAAGTGGCTCAATAACTCCAACTGTAGTAATGTTGATGATTTCCAACCCTCTCAGTTTGGCTTGGAGTATTCTGGTTTGTTTCTTCTAATGTCTGAATATAAAATGGATAGATCAATGTAAACAATGTCGAACAGCTTTTTATAATCTACCCGGAAGGACTTAGGTTTGAGTTGGCAGCCCTAGCCAACTGCCATTGGCCAATCTAAACCTGCCATCTACAGGGCACATCCAGGAGATTTCACATTCACAGGCTCCACTAAAAGTGGAGCACTGCTTATTTGAAGGCCTAGACGTTTGATACAAATATCTGAAATAAGTATAACGTTTGGAAGTTTTAATTTGACATTGATGTTAACCTGTTTGACAGGCCTTAATTTGGTTGTTGTTAATAATTCAGGGGAGTAAAGGGGCGTGGTCAAGAGTAGACGGAACACCCTGACAGACAGTCACACACACGCTCACTCTCCAGCCTGATCAGAGGTTTTACAGCGAGATGATAAACAAAACAAACAAACTCCTAATTCTCCTAAATCACTGTTGTTCTCTTTGTAGTCGCTCCAGCAGAGAATCCCTATTAACCATCTCTGGAAGTTTATGAGGAGGCATTGGTGTTGCATGTAGAACTTTTCTAAACTACTTCCTCTTTCTCCCACTCTCTTTCCCCCCAGTCAAAGACAGGGAGTCGGCGGCCACCATAAGTATGAAGCGTGTCCCAGCTCAGCGGGTGTATAGCGGGCACATGAAGCTGGACAACGTGCCCTACAACCAGAATCTGGAGGACCCCACCAGCACAGAGTTCAACAAGCTGGCAGACAACCTGGAAGAGATTGTGAGTTTGACCCCAGTTTAGGCTCAGATGCCAAGATGTTCTGTTCAAAAAACAGATTGAGCTTATTGTTTTTGATGGTGGTCAAATGTTGACAGACGATAGTGACGAGACGACAGACATTTCCCATTTCTTTGCTTGAAATGAGTTGAACTTTTGTTGGATGACTGGCCCAATACCCTTACCTCCACCCACAGGACCCTTTAGGCCAGGTACAGTATAAAGTCAGGTGTCGGAGTTCAGAACTGACTGAGATTCAGTTTCTCTCTCTCGTAAGATTTGTTGTAGCTATCCGCCACAGCATGTTTTTCTCCTGGTGGAAGGAGATTGCCAAAGGCACATTTGTGTGGGTGGACTGGAAGAGAGAAAATCATCTAGTTAACTCTGTTATTCACTCCAAAAACATTTCCTTTCATTAGAGTAATGGAGATGTGTGTATCGCCACTTGGGAACATGACAATGGTAAATTGCTATTGCTAAACCCACGGTCAGTGAGGCAACGCTTTAGTATGTATATCTGCGTGAGTGACAATGTAAGGTGTGTGTGAATACCGAGGTGGTCTGAATATAATTCTAGATGACTGTTCACTGAGCATTAATGTGACAACAGAACACAAACACACACCACCATCACTTTTCTTGGTATCTAACTGGCCAATACCTGGCGCACTCCCAACACCACGGTAACCTTGATCAATTAAACCTTGTATGGAGGATTCAGCAGAACTCTGAGGTCATGGCTCCCTCTCTTCGCCATGGTAAAAACAAATGGGTCGTCAGGTAACCTAGTGAATGATCAGTTTTATGTTTTGGCTTTTTTCTCCAGCTTAAGATCAACTACAAACAAGTTGAGTTCCTCTCCAAGTACTACACCAAGTCTGTGGTGACCGCCTTCAGGTAGGAGAGCATTCTGGGATGTGGAGTTTCTGCATGTTGGTCATGTACAGATGGCCATAAAGCTAGTCATGTGATCACTTTGTTTATTACATAATATGAATCTTTGAAAATGCTTATTGGATAAGTGTAATTTGGCACAATGGAAAGTCCATTGCAGCAACTCAAAACACCAGCTGTACTTGAGGGGGTTTGGTTAAAAACTGCACTATAGAAACGTTGAAGTGCATGATTGTGAGTGATCCATTAAGGCCTCAGTCAGCATAGTTTGGTCTTCTACACCTTCCTTCAAGTCCCTCTCTCTCCAGTGAGGGGGTGCTGGCCTACTACTGGACCCAGTTTGACATCCCGGCAGCGGACCTGGAGATGCTGCCAGAGTTCTCTGAGGAGCGGGTCCTGGAGGTGCTGTGGAATGGCATCAGGGAGCAGGGCAAAAGCTCCGGCCAGAACCTCCACATCAGCGAAGTCACTGCCTCACGTGAGTTAGTAGTTAGTACCACCCAGTCAAGACCAAACCAGTGGGTGTAGTCTTTGGGGCAGGGGGTTCTATCTATAGACTTAGGGTTTAAACTAAGGCAGCAGAGACCAACCCTCCTCCTGGAGAGTTAACCTGAGTCCTGCAAGCTTCCGCTTCAACCCAAATCCAACACCCCTCATTCTACTAATTAGCTGCTCACCAAGACCTTGATTAGCTGAATGAGGGGTAACAGAGTTGGAGCAAAAGCCTGCACACCCAGTAGCTCTCCAGAAGGAGGGTTGGCCTCCCCTGAACTAAAGGGTGGTTTTTAATGAAGAGCAATGTACTGTCTGAAGCAAGCCCCCTCTCTGTCATCTTTCATAAGAATTCATATCTGATCTGATTTCTGCCATTAATGGCTGTTCTATGCCAGCTAGATGTCTCTGACATGCCCTAATAAGATAACATGGAGGTATAAGGGACGCCTCTCTGTTTGTATTGTATCAGAGATTGGACACTTTATGTAGTTTGGGTCCTCTGATGACATTACAGTAGCTGGCCTCTGGGCTGCCCTCTAGCTGCCTGCCTGCCTGGCGCTTGCCATTGTCATTTTTCTAGCTTCTGTCTACATCACATTGCATTGGTTTTGCTCTCTTTAAAATGATTTCTGTTTATATGATTTGATGTGGCTGTTAGACTGAGACGTATCGCTGGGCTCCGCGGGGCAAGGTGGGGGGGGGGGGGCGTTAAACAACAGTCCATTGGCAGCTGTCTTTTAACAGCAGTGTGTACGGCAACCCAAATATAATATACCCATGCATCAAACTCTATCAGCCTCTCAGTTTGGTAACACTCTCTTAACCCTCCCTCCTTATCTCTCATTTCCCCTCTCCCTCTCCTCCTTCATCTCTCCTTTCCTCTCGTCTCCCTCCCCCTCTTACTCCACCACTCTGTCTCCTTCCACCGCCCCCTTCTCTCTAGGCACAGACCCCAGGATGGCCAGGAACCCCAGAGCTGGTGAGTAAACCCGCTGTCTCGCGTTTCAATCACTTGCCGCTGTAATTTTCCAGCCCGCTAGATGTTCACCCTGCTGCTGCCAGTCTGTGACGAATGCCTGCCCAGCTTGATACATAATGCTACTGCTACTGCTGCTCCAGTCATGAAGAGATTGAGAGCCCTGGCTATATAGTACATGAGTGGACTACTGAATAAAAATGGATGTTGGCCTATTTCACTCATATTTTTTTACCCTCTGTGTTGACGTGTAATCCTCAAACGATTTTACGCATGTTACATTTAATTTCAGATGAGAGTTGATAGTTGACATTGCATCAACAGATGAAATTGCATGATGAACAGTGTATAAGATGTGTACATTTCTCCACACCATGATATGACATTTTGATTGATGCCATACAACACAGCTCTAATCTTTTTTCAACTATGTTATCTGCCTTGACGTTTGCACTTTTGGGAGTAGCGAGTCCAGAGTTTTTCCTTAGCATGTGAGCTGACCAGGGAAAACCCACGGCCTTGTTGGGCTACTGTACCTGAATGTCTGTACATCTACTAATGTAATCTGTTATGGTGTTCATTCCTGCCCGTCAGATGACGAGTGTTTCTTCCGGTTGGAGGCTGACACTTTAGTTCAGAGCTTCCAGTCTCCAGGCTTTCCAGATCAGTACCCAGCCCATTCCCGCTGCCAGTGGCAGATCAGAGCCCCAGAACAGAACGCCATCTCAGTCCGATTCTCCCACTTCCACATAGAGGACGACTGCTCCGATGACTTTGTGTCCATCTACGACTCCCTCAGCCCGGACGAGTCCCAGGCCATCACTCAGTGAGTGCTCTCACAACCACTACTGTGATGATGATAAATAATATTAATAATGCATTGATTTTTATTAGTGCTTTTCATGGACCCAAATACTCTTGTATAGGGATGGTGATGAGAGAGGCTGAATCAGGCCAATGTTTGTCATAATGCAGCTATTCTCCACAGCCCAAGGAAATCTGTGACAAACTCCAGCTTAATATCAGCAGTGATGCACAGACAAGTGAATTCAATTGTAAGATTGCAGATTTGTGTGAGACATATGGGCTTTGTTCGATCGAAGGTGGTTACCTGGTGTCTAGGCTAAGTTTAATTGATAGGTTGTTGTGCTGCGAGAATGCGGGTTTGTTTCCAATCGATAAAGCTATGTTAACAGTGGGAAAAAGGAAGCAGAAAGTCATAACTTCAAGGATGCTTTCTTTCAGCGCAATAAATTATAGATTCTTCATCCTACCAAGAAACATACACTGAGTATACAAAACATTAGGAACACCTGCTCTTTCCATGAGAGACTGACCAGGTGAATCCAGGTGAAACCTATGATTCCTTATTGATGTCACCTGTTAAATCCACTTCAATCAGTATAGATGAAGGGGAGGAGACAGGTTAAAGAATAAAATGTAAGCCAAGTGAAACATGGATTGTGTATGCGTGCCATTCAGAGGATGAATGGGCAAGACAAAAAACGTAAGTGCCTTTCAACGGGGTATGGAAGTAGGTGACAGGCGCACCGGCTTGACGGTGTCAAGAACTGCAACACTGCTGGGTTTTTCACGGTCTACAGTTTCCCGTGTGTATCAAGAATGGCCCACCACCCAAAGGACATCCAGCCAACTTGACACAACTTCTGAGGGCAAAAGTGGGCGGTGCAACTCAATATTAGACGGTTTTGTACGCTCAGTGTATCCCACTTGTTTACAACCTTTTATGAATTATTGTCCAACCAAGACATGCATACTACCAGTACCAACATATGCTTACTTAATGAGAAAATAAAGTAAAAGTGTGTCATGTAGTTTTCCAAGATTCCCAAGAGGGACCGGAACATCACTTTATATTTGGCTAAGGTGCCTGGTGGGAATAGAAAAACATGGGAGAAAACTGTAGTTTTGAAGTGTAGTGAATGCTGTGGACTTCATTCCCGTCACATCATTGGTGATTTTAGTTACTTGTTGGTATCCTGGTGCATTTAGCCCAGCACGTCGTCTTTCACTGTTAACATTGGGGACCTTCAGTGAGATTGAGTTGGCTCAAAAGGACCTCTCTTTTCCAATCTACCAGGGGTGCCACTCGGCCACCATGCTGCTGTGTGTAATTACGGTTGGTTGTCTGTGGACTCTGTGGGCGGCCGGATCTCTCTCTCTCCCACTGTGGCCACCTGAGTGCAAATCCGTGGCGGCTACACTGCAGGCAATTTCAAGTTCCAAATCCTTCGCCAAACAAATGCGGGTAGCCAGGCGATGCGTAAGATTTTTATATTGCTGCTCAGCCCATCAGCTTTATCCAAGGTGACACCAGGTTTATGAGAGCCATAATACAGTAGTTTCTAATGGCATTACCCTGCTGCAGGTAGATGTAGTGCTGCTCTTGCAGTGTCATTCACACCTCTGTGGCTCCGGCCGCCGGCCCACAATGCAGGAACGTTTAGCTAAAATACCTGTTTGACTTTGAAATGCCGTGTGTGTGTGTGTGTCTGAGCGGGCAAGAGTGAGGCGAGAGCCCAAGAGTGATCTATTGATCTCCACTCTGCTATTTTTTCCCCCTTTTAATAGTTGATTTGATGCTTTTTGATGTGTGGGTGCTCATCAATTATTTAGACATTTCAAATATATTTAATGGACATTTTGGGTTTCTGATTCATGTGTTTTATTGAAAGTGTGAAATGTCACTCTAGCAACACAGTGTAGATGGTATACTGATGGTTTATGCCTTTCATGCCTGCACCTCATTCTGTCATTGAATGAATTGAAGTCCCACACCTTGATCAGTGTTGCCCAGCCCTGTCATTGGTTGACGTCTCCATTTCCTGTATGAATCTCCTCCTACAGCAAGTGTGGTCAGAGGCCTCCTACCAATCCCTTGGAGGTGGTGTCGTCCAGTAACATCATGCTCATCAACCTCATCACCGACAGCAATGTCCAGAGGCCCGGCTTCAGGGCAGAGTACTCAATCATCCCCCTAACAACATGTAAGCTAACATGACACAGTCATCCCCTTATCTGTAACAACAGGTACAATGACAATGCCACTCAAACTGTCCATCTTTAACATGATGAACACTCTAATGACCCAACTGTTGCCATTTCAGCCAAAAGTTGTGGAGGAGTCCTGAGTGATGCTCAGGGGAACTTCAGCTCCGCCCATTACCCCAGCTTCTACCCCCCAGCCCTGGACTGCAAGTGGACCATTGAGGTAGGTGATGCTGCACCATAGCCCCTTCTGTTACCCTCTCTCTCTGGTCCCTTATTACCCCCTCTCTGGAGTCCCCTCTATTTACCCCCCTCTCTCTCTGGTCCCTCTCTATTTACCCCCTCTCTCTCTGGTCCCTCTCTATTTAACCCCCCTTTCTCTGGTCCCTCTCTATATTTACCCCCTCTCTCTCTGGTCCCTCTCTATTTACCACCTCTCTCTCTGGTCCCTCTCTATTTACCCCCTCTCTCTCTGGTACGTCTCTATTTACCCCCTCTCTCTCTGGTACCTCTCTATTTACACCCTCTCTCTGGTACCGCTAGATTTACCCCCTCTATCTGGTACCCCTATCTAGTCCCCTCTTTCCTGAACTATCCAATGCTCTGTATGAGGGGAATGCTGAGGCTGCAGGATGTCAGCCAGGCTGTTCAGTACCTCTTCCATCTTCATCTGTCCTATTGCAGCAGCAGCCATTAAGGCTGTGTGTCTGGGGGGAGGAGGTGGGCTGGGTGTTCTCCAACAGTTACTGTAGGTTGAGTTCCAATTCCCTACACCTGCCACTTGGTCCCATTCCCCTTGTGGATTTGAAATCATTGGATTGGTGTAAGCAGGCTCGAGGGAGTTCCCACCGTATTTTCTTCACCATTTATTTTGAATTGATGAGGAGGAATGATCAAGGAGCAGGGCAGAGGGGAGGAGTGGTAGCATTTTCCAACTCTTAAGACTCACATGAACACAACCCTGGTTAATGATCTATCCACGTCCTCTGTCTCTCAGGTCCCTGCAGGGAAGCAGGTACGTGTCAAGTTCACCATGTTCCGTATGAAGGAGCCGAGAGTGGACGTCAGGGTGTGTCACAAAGACTACATAGAGGTCATGGGCACCAAGTAAGACTTTCCCTCTACTTACTGGACTTTATTGATTATCACAGGATAAAGGAAATGTGTCATCTGCTTTAAACCATCACATTCCATTGACATACGATGTCAGTATTTCCACTGTTTCTTTGTCAGGTACTGTGGGGAGATGTCTTCTCTGGCCCTGACCAGTACCACCAGCTCTCTGGTTGTGGTGTTCCACTCTGACGAGTCCTTCACAGACAAAGGCTTCCTGGCTCAGTACAATGCATACGATCCTTCCAACCGTGAGTAGTTTCTCTGGTGTTATATACAGTGCCCTCCACTATTATTGGCACCCCTGTTTAAGATGTGGTCGAGGACTTCCAAAAATTCTCTTTTTTTTTTAAACAACATAGAACCCAAATGCAAAAAAAGAGAAAAAGCCAACCTTTTATTTAAGTACATTACTTTGGTGGTAAAAAAAAAAATCACACATTTAGAAAAAAAAAAACTTGAAATCATGTGTCCCACAATTATTGGCACCCCTAACAATTCCGCTGAAAATTTTAATAGATTTTTTTTTAAATATATTTTTCTGTAGTTGCTAAAGTTGGTCAGGGTATCTAGGAACTTTTAATTAGTAATTCATGACTTCCTGTTTCCCAGAGCACGGCGCTTGTAACGCCAAGGTAGTGGGTTCGATCCCCGGGACCACCCATACACAAAAAAAAAATGTATGCACGCATGACTGTAAGTCGCTTTGGATAAAAGCGTCTGCTAAATGGCATATTATATTATTATTATTATTATTATTATATTATTATTCAAGTAAGGCAGATTTGTGTCGACCTTCATAAGTCAGGCAATGGCTACAAGAAAATAGCCACTCGCCTTAACTTGCCCGTATCTACAGTCAGAGGAATCATTAAGAAGTTTAAAAACAACTGGAACAGTGACAAACAAGGCTGGAAGAGGTCCCAAGTTTATCTTGCCACAACGCACAGTGAGGAGGATGGTAAGAGAAGTAAAAAAAAGTCCTAAGCTCACTGTCACAGAATTGCATCAAAGAGTGGCATCTTGGGGTCACAAAGTCTCCAAAACAACCATCAGACGCTCTCTACATGCCAACAAGCTGTTTGGGAGGCATGCAAGGAAAAAGCCTTTTCTCACTAACACTCACAAACGTAAACGTCTGGAGTTTGCTAAGCGGCACTGGGACTTCAACTGGGATCGTGTGCTTTGGTCAGATGAGACTAAGATTTAGCTTTTTGGCAACAAACACTCTAAGTGGGTCTGGCGTAAAACAAAAGATTAGTATGCCGAAAGCACCTCATGCCCACCGTGAAGTATGGTGGAGGATCTGTGATGCTGTGGGCCTGTTTCTCTTCCAAAGGCCCTGGGAACCTTGTTAGGGTGCATGGCATTATGAAAGCTTTGAACTACCAGGACATTTTAAAATAAAAACCTGATGGCCTCTGCCAGAAAGCTGAAGATGGGTTCTCATTGGGTCTTTCAGCAGGATAATGATCCAAAACATGTGGCAAAATCTACACAAAAATGGTTCAGCAGTCACAAACTCAAGGTCCTCCCATGGCCATCTCAGTCCCCAGACCTCAACCCAATCGAAAACCTGTGGGGCGAGCTAAAGAGGAGAGTGCATAAGAGAGGACCCAGGACACTGGATGATCTAGAAAGATTGTGCAAAGAAGAATGGTCAAAGATCCCTCTCTCTGTGTTCTCCAATCTTGTGAAATGTTAAAGGAGGAGATTAAGTGCTGTCTTGTTGGCAAAAGGGGGTTGTACAAAGTATTAACATCAGGGGTGCCAAGAATTGTGGCACATATTTCAAGTTTTTGTATTCTTCTAAAGTGGCATATTTTATTGTTTTATGTACACGGCAAAAGAATGTATACTTCAAATTAAAGGTATGATTGTTCTTTTTTTTGCATTTGGGTTCTATGTGTTTAAAAAAAAGGAAGAATTTTGGAAGTCTCGACCACATCTTAAAAAGTGCTAGGTTTGCCAATAATTAGGCATGATGACCGGATTGTATAAAACGGTCTGAAGGTCTACCATTTTACGGACGTTTCAAACCCCTCTCATGGCAAAGATATGGGAGTGTAGTGTTATTCATGTGAAAGTTGCTATATGAAAGAGGAAAATCGTCACTATAACAACTGAACTAGTGCCCCAAACCCAGTGGCACACTCAGAAGAGACGGTTCAATATATAATATTATTGTTCTGTTATCTGCGGTCCAGTCAGAGAGCACTTCTAGTTTCCATCTCAGTCCCCTCCACTCCCCTCGTCCCCTCCACCCTCTGTAGTGCTGCTCTCTCAGAGTTGGGGCCATAATGGATTTCTAATTGCTTTGATCAATGGGTACGAGCAGAAGGCAACAAGACGGATGGGCCGACTATACACTGTCATTCCCTCACACTCCTTCTGTCACTCGCTCTCTCTCCATCTTTCTCTCTCTCATCCCCTCCTCCCCCCACCTCATTCTCTCTATTCTGTTACTGTGTGCAGCTTGCCCCAACCAGTTTGCCTGTGGCTCTGGATTCTGTATCAAGAAGGAGCTGCATTGTGACGGCTGGAACGACTGTGGGGACATGAGTGATGAAATGAACTGCAGTAAGTAGACACTGTCCTTGCTTGGCCTCACCTCACCCCTACCTCACTGCCCCTCAACACTCCCCCTCACCCCTCCCTCACTCCCCTCCCTCTCTCCCCCTTCACCTCACGTTACCTCTCCCCCTTACCTTCCCTTCACCTACTTCCCACTCCCCTCACATTCCTGTGTGTGTGCATGTCTGTGTGATAGAAGCCTCTGACACACTGGCTGTTTCCTCTTGCTATTTTCAGAATGTGAAAAGGACCAGTTTGCCTGTGACAACGGGATGTGCAAGCCCAAGTACTGGGTGTGCGACCGTGTCAACGACTGCGGTGACGAGAGTGATGAGAAGCACTGCAGTGAGTAGCCGCCTTGCCGGCCAGACCCTCTCTATCTATGTAATGCCAGTCTGCGGGCTATACGGCCCGCTAATTGTGCTAACATTAAAGGCGCTAATGCGGTGGGCACTGGCTCCTAGCTCGGCTGTGTGTGGTCATTACTTTAGCAGTAATGTTGCTTGATGGAAGCCTTGCCCAATTTGCTCAGCCTCCGTCCAGACTCTTAATCATGTATAATGCATTCAGCCTTTTAAAGCACAGAGCGGGGGAGGGATAGAGGGAGAACAAGCGGCCAGTCTGGCCACATTAGTAAAAATGTCTCTCTCTCTCTCCTCCCCCCTCCCCCTGTTCCAGGCTGTGCTAACAGTGAGTTTAGGTGTGGTGACGGGACCTGTTTGCCTCAGGATGTGGTGTGTGACACTAAGACAGACTGTGTGGACGGGAGTGACGAGGCTTCCTGTACCATCTGTAAGTCAACCCACAGAACACACACCAGACTCACTCATTACATGACATGACATGACACACCTCTCTTTTGACATACTTTAGCAATGTTTATGCTACTACACACACCACACATACACACACCTCTCCTCACATGAAAACCCTGTCACTCCTTTTTAATCTCAGTTTTGTGGATAAAGTGGGATGTTAGACTAGACCGTCTCAATCAATACAGCCAATCAATGTAAACCACAGCCCTATCACTGTGTATGGTGCACTGCATTCTGATGCCTAACTTTCTGATGTGTCTTTTCATCCAACCTGGCCTAGCACTGAAATAGGTTTATGATAAATGGGATTGTTTAAAAAAAATTCAGAAATGTGGTTTCTTATGATCTCTGGTTGGGTTTTCACTTTTAATTTTTTCTTCTCTCTCTCTCTCTCTCTCTCTCTCTCTCTCGCTCTCTCGCTCTCTCTCTCTCTCTGTGTGCAGCTTCTGGTATCTGCTCTGACTTCAGCTTTAAGTGTAAGAACGAGGCGTGTGTGAACAAGGTGAACGCTGAGTGTGACCGGGTCAAAGACTGCACCGACGAATCAGACGAGGAGGGCTGCGGTAAGACAAGACAACCCAGCAGCAAGCTCTTTCATTCCTCCTCTCCTCCTCTCCTTTAGGTCTTCACTCGCTTCCCATCCTCTGGGCAACTCTCGCTCTTCTCTTGTCTTTGGAAAAACATCCATGAGTTAGCATGTAGTCTTAGAACACCTGTTTGATGCAAAAACCTAAACTAGCACATGAAACCAGTTGTAAGCTCATCAGTGTCACTCCTAACAGTGAGCTACAGGACAGCAGAGTAGTGGGGCTGAGATAACGTATGACTGGCTGCCTGTCTACAGAGCACCAAACAAGCCTGAGGGCCTCCATCCAGCAATTTTATTTATTTGATTCTTCTTTTGAGAACTATTGACGTCTGTGTGAATATTTTTATGTTTTTCCTTTCCTACAAGCCTCGGGGTCTGGCAGTGTTTTTTTGATCAGCTAATATGTGTCGGTGCCTTATTATAATTCCAACGAGCCACGCGGTTCAGCGCCAAGGCCACGGTGTCAAGTGAAAGTTATTTTCTCCTTCTCTTCTCTCTGTTCATTAACTCTCATCTCACTCTTCCTCTCCTCCATTCCACCTTACCTCCCAACAGACTGTGGCATCCGGCCATACAAGCTTAACCGTATTGTGGGCGGGGAGAACGCGCAGCTGGGGGAGTGGCCCTGGCAGGTGAGCCTGCACTTCCAGACCCGTGGGCATGTGTGTGGTGCGTCAATCATCTCCAACCGCTGGCTCCTGTCTGCCGCCCACTGCTTCAAGACCGTCAGCCCTGAGTTAGTTCCACATACACAACACTGCTCTCCATTCCTCACTGCTTCCTCCCTGCTCCTCCTGCCTCTCAGCAGATTGCCCTTCCTATTGTTTCTGGAGCCTTTCAAATGTCCTCCTTTCGCTTCGCTTTTGTTCTCTATGCCTCTTTTTTTTGGTCTGTCTATCCCATCATGCCTGTGGGGAGTTTATGGGTTCTCTACTCTACTGAAGCTTCTCTCCTTGACTTCTTCTTTCAAGATCTCCAGCCCTGCACATGTACATGGCACCCCTCACACCTCTTCTTGTTTCTGATTCACAGACGGATCATCCCATCTCTGCTTCTGAAGCCTCTGATATCTCCCACCTCCCTCTACTCTGCTTCCAAACACCTTTTTGGTCCTCCTTTCCCACGCCCGGGGGTAGTTTATGGCCACTCTGCTGTCTTTTGTCTACTTGACTGAGTTAACTTTGTTTGTTGGCGTCCCATTCTCTTTATTATTGTTCATTATTCCAGATGACCTCGTTTTAGGGAACCTGTTCGTTCATTTAATACTAAGGGCTCTTCAATCTGTAAAGCTGATTCCGCAATAGAAATGTAAAGGTCATTTCCGATTGAGCAAACATATGCAGCGTTTACCGTGAATGCGTTCTCTGCTAAAGTGGGAACATTGCCTTTACATTTCAATCACACTGTAAAGCTGAATTTCCGCAATGCGGATTGAATAGGTCCCTAAGAGAGACACGAGTATGATGGGTAAACCATGCTTTACACAACACAGGAGTGTTTTGATCCACAGTACAAGGACTGATAAATTAGTCCCTGATTATACTGTTTAGAAGAGATGCCTCAGGGACCACATTTGCATCAAAGCAGCTTTTTATAGTGTATATAATAATGTTTAGTTATCTGGGCTGCCAGTAGGTGGAGCACTAGCCATGCACTATACGATGATCCTGCACCGCTGTGTTGGGATGGATGTGGTGTTTTCCATTTAGATAGCCAACCACTGTAGGGGATGATGTAGCTGTGCACTGCGGCGGTTTCATGAACAGTACATAGATTTACAGAGCTCTGCTGCTAGCATTGGTTCCTCTCACAATCACACAGTCAGCTTGGAAGAGAAATGGCTTCCTTTCTGTATACAGACAGCATTCTCTTATTCTGTGGGGAGGCTCTATAGGTTGAGCTCAATCCTATAGCAGCAGTAGGCAGTCTTAGACTCAATCTTACATGGCTGATTCAATCAATTGAGTCTTTATTAAAGACTGATTAGTTCATTATTGGAGTCAGGTGTGTTGCTGCTTTGGCCGAAGCAAAAGCCTGCCCCCATATTGGCCCCTTTCAGATAAGACCGTCCAGCCCCTGGACCTATTAGGCTGGTTAACATACCCACAATCAATTCAATCTGCTCCTGTACTTTGTAAAAAACACTTTCAAGTGAGATTTCAAAGGCAGAGGGCCAGCAGAATAACTGAATAATGTTACCCTCCCATGCCCTCTCTCTCTCTCTCTCTCTCTCTCTCTCCCCTCATCTCCTCCTCCTCTAGAAACCACGTGGCCTCCAACTGGCAGACATACAGTGGCATGCAGGACCAGTACAAGCAGGATAATGTTCAGAGACGCTTGCTGAAGACCATTATCACCCACCCAGACTACAACCAGATGACCTATGACTACGACATCGCCCTGCTGGAGCTGAGCCAGCCGCTGGAGTTCACAAACACCATCCATCCCCATCTGCCTACCTGCACGCTCCCACCTCTTCCCTGCTGGCATGTCCTGTTGGGTCACAGGCTGGGGCACGCTCCGCGAAGGAGGTGAGGGGTCGTATAGTTACGCTATTGTTCTTATAGACCTGGGTCATATACAATACATATGTTGAATAATTTCAAACGCTAATGTTGCAATTGATTTAGTGCATTGGGTTAAAGTTAACATACATTTACTTATCTTTTATGCTACAGAACTGGGTCAATCTAGGGATGGGCATTTGACATTTCTTGAGTGTTAGAGTTCTCGCATTATTTTTTTGTACTGGAGTATTGAAATAAATAAATAAAATATATATTTTTAGAACACAAGGCCTGCACTAGAGAAAAATATGTGTGCATTTATCTATATGCCAACAGCGTGCAAAAATGCCTAATTTATCATAACCTTTACAGATAACACGTTCTAATTGCTAAATTGCCCCATATAGCCTACAGTATATTCAGTCAATAAAAAAACAAGTGCCATTTGAGAATCATGAATTGAAACCATAATGAGCTGTATAACCGGCTTGGCTCTGACGGGGTCACTCACAGCTTCGCCTAGCAGTGGCAAAATATTGGTTTTAAATAAAAAAGATAAAACGCATAAGGAAATATCTTACTGTGTTTTCTAAACGCAGATCTAAAATGATTCTTATAGTAATTTCTGCTCGGCATCAGACTTATGTGCTTCAGTTGCGCTTCTTCACTCGGATGAGAATTCACGAACTGGCGTTCTATCTGCAAACAGTGCTCTGACTGATGTGTAGCTACTTTTCTCTGGTACTTTTCTCGGTAGCCTCCTTTTCTCTGGTAAAATGCAAGATTAACTTCAAACAAAACATTTGATTAAGAAATGTAGCTGGCTACATTCTTTCTATGATAAACACTAGAAATATGATGGCCATGCATCGTTTTTGCAAAAAAAGACCTTACTCATTGGAAGCTCATTTACTTGTGTGGCTTCTAGCCAAATAGCGCTGCACTTCGGTTGTCACCTGATGAAAATGAAGCTATTTCCTGACAAATGTGTTGCACAAATGTATTTTCTGTGAAGGAGAACTATAGTTGCACAACCCTGATCACTCTATTGAAGGGGGGAAAAAAACACTTGACTTTCAACATAAAACGCAGGTGAAAGGTTTTAAACTCAACCGCCTATCCTGGAGTTCGGGCCAGGTAGCCTACATCTGTGCGCACTCGAGCAATACTGACAAGATGGAGAAACCAGACATGTTGACATAAAATATATATAATTAAATAAACCACAACTTCATTATCACCGCATAGTTTGAGCTCTCCAAACAACGTGTCCACTACAAGAATGAGAATGGTATGCCGTATTAATACATTGAATGAACAGAAATGACCGTAACCAAATATTCTAGGTTAATGGAAATGGCAATGATTAATGGTAGCCTACAATTACTACTGGTGATACTTTGATATATAGCAGGGAATTCATTAACTTTGACAAACAATTCACACCATGAAAACAATGTGATTGAGCATTATTTGGCATGGAGAGAGATGTGCCCATTAGATAAAATAAAACATCTCTGATTTTTAAGATTTTTTTATGTCCATTCGAGTACTCTGTACTCGATTACTCATGCCCATCCCTAGGTCATACATGTTGAATACTTTCAGATAGTTGAGCTTTGCTTGATTTAGTATGAAGGGTCATTTAGACTAATGCTACTGTTCTCATACTGCAGACTTGGGTAAAATACTGTGCATTAGGTCAAGTATTTCCATATGCTCGAGCTGCACTTGATTTTAGTTTGAAAGGAATGGAGCCAAGAGACAGTGGAATAGTCCAAGAAAATGCTGAATCCGCACACCTCACATACTAACCATTTGGCATAGTATTTGACTCAGTCAGGTGTGTTATACAGCTCCTCTATGATATACACATCTTCTACGTCTCTCTTTCATGCTGGCATGCTTCTCTTCCCTCATCTTGACAATCCTCGCTCGCTCTCTCTCCATCCCTCTCTCCTCATGTCATCCCTCTTTCCTCATCTGTCTCCCATCATGGCGTCTTTCTCTTCATCGCCATGGCATCCTTCTCTTCTCTTCATCCCTCTCTCCTCCTGACGTCCCTCTTCCCTTACCTCCTCCCCATTCATTATCAACCCTCATCTCTCCCGTTCATGACCTCCCTCTCTCATTACGTCCCTCTCTTCTGTCAGCCCGTTCCAATTCCTTCTCCCTCATCTTCCGTCATAATATTTTCCTCATGTCATCCCTCTCATTCCCTTTCATCTCTCCCACATCTTTCTCTTATCATCCCTCTCTCTTCCATTACACCTTCCTCCACATCCATATGTCATACCATATCTCCTCCCTCTCTCTTTCTCTTGAGGGATCTCTTAACTCTCCATTAGCCAACACAAAGCCAACCCGTTAGTACCTGGGCTGTAGGCTGTAGCTAGTGGACATGAAGGTCATCTCCTGGTAGTTCTAACCACGCGTCTTCTCTTTTTCTCGTGGCCGATCAGGTTCCGTAGCACGGCTGCTGCAGAAGGCGGAGGTGAAGATCATTAACGACACGGTGTGTAACGTAGTCACCGAGGGTCAGGTCACATCCAGGATGCTCTGCTCCGGCTTCCTGTCCGGAGGGGTCGACGCCTGTCAGGTGGGAGGGATACGCATGGCAGGCTACATGCACACACTACATACTACACATATACAACTACACACACACAATACAAACACATGCAATTATAAACAGAAACATATGGCTTACACCTACATCTTAAAACACTCCTAAACACGTTTCCTTTGTGCCCAATGTAATGTCTCTCTCCTTCTATTCTCTTCTGTTTCTCTCATCACTAGGGAGATTCGGGGGGTCCCCTGGTGTGCTTTGAGGAAAGTGGGTCGTGGTTCCAGGCAGGCATCGTGAGCTGGGGCGAGGGCTGCGCTCGTCGGAACAAGCCCGGCGTCTACTCGCGCGTCACCAAGCTGAGAGACTGGATCCGCAAGCTCACAGGGGTTTGATGATGAGGGGCATGGGGGAGGGAGGGCAGCGGGTAGACAGTTTGGGGTCTGATGGGAGAAGACAAAAAATAAGGAATATGGAACATTGAGTCTGATTGAGGACGTGTCCCCCCCATGGCGACCACAGCTATCCATCCATCTAGCCAGCCTCAACCAGCCCCCGACACCCACTGAGGGCCTGCATGGGGCTAGCTACTGCTCAGATGAATGATTTCAAATGGGTTGGGATTAGGTTTATCAATGCTTTTATGTTGTACTGATGCAACCTTGGTTCTCAAAGGCTCCAAGAAGCAGCAAGACTCCTGCACCTCGCTCAATCATGTCATGTTCCACTGGTTTGATGAATATTCTCCCAGTGTAAATAATGAATGATGTATATTTTGAAGACTCACTTTGTTTTTGGTGGTATTTGCCAAATCTCCCCCTTTGCTATGATGTGAGATCACATGTTCTGTTGTGCAGACAGACATGCCAAATGAACGGAGGGAAATATAAATAGAACAGAAGTAGAATAGATATATTATAGAAAGATTTTACCTGCCAATTTTCACTTACTTAAAGTACCTTGACAAGAACATGGAATATTTTATAAGTGAGTGTGATACTAGCGATGTTAGTAATGCCGAGATGCATAGAATCTTGAGTTCTAACAAAGATTGTCTATTGCAGTGCAATCAGAGCCTATTCATACCCCTTGATTTATTCCACATTTTGTTACAGCCTGAATTCAAAATGGTTTAAATACTTGTTTTTTTTCACCCATCTATACACAATTACCCCATAATGACAAAGTGAAAACATATTTTTAGAAAAGTTTGTACAGAAATATCTAATTTACATAAGTATCCACACCCCTGAGGAAATGCATGTTATCATCACCTTCGGCAGATATTACTGCTGCGAGTCTTTCATGGTAAGTCCCTATGAGCTTTCCACACCTGGATTGTACAATATTTGCACATTATTCTTTTCAAAATTCTTCAAGCTCTGTCAAGTTGGTTGTTGATCATTGCTAGACAGCAGTCTTTTTAAGTCTTGCCATAGGTTTTCAAGCCGATTTTAATTCAAAACTGTAGCTAAGCCACTCGGGAACATTCAATGTCGTCTTGGTAAGCAACTCCAGTGTATATTTGGCCATGTGTTTTAAGTTAATGTCCTGCTGAAAGGTGAATTTGCCTATCAGTGTCTGTTGGAAAGCAGACTGAACCAGTTTTTCCTCTAGGATTTTGCCTGTGCTTAGCTCTGTTCCGTTTTGCTTTTATCCCACCAGAAAACTCCCAAGCCCTAGCCAATGACAAGCATACCCATAACATGATGCAGCCACCACCATGCTTGAAAATATGAAGTGTTACTCAGTGATGTGTTGGATTTGCCCCAAACATAACACTTTGTATTCAGGAAACAAATGTAATTTCTTTGCCACATTTTTTGTAGTTTTACATTTAGTGCCTTATTGCAAACTGGATGCATATTTTTATTCTGTACAGGCTTTCTTCTTTTCACACTGTCATTTAGGTTAATATTGTGGAGTAACTACAATGTTGTTGATCCATCCTCATTGTTCTCCTATCACAGCAATTAAACTCTGTAACTGTTTTAAAGTCACCATTGGCCTCATGGTAAAATTCCTGAGCTGTTTCCTTCCTCTCTGGCAACTGAGTTAGGAAGGTCGCCTGTATCTTTGTAGTAACTGGGTGTATTGATACACCATCCATCCATCCAAAGTGTAATGAATAACTTCACCATGCTCAAAGGTTTAATTTTTATTTATTTCACCTTTATTTAACCAGGTAAGCCAGTTGAGAACAAGTTCTCATTTACAACTGCGACCTGGCCAAGATAAAGCAAAGCAGTGCGATAAAAACAACAACACAGAGTTACCTATGGGGTAAAACAAAACATAAAGTCAAAAATACAACAGAATATATATACAGTGTGTGCAAATGTAGCAAGTTATGGAGGTAAGGCAATAAATAGGCTATAGTGCAAAATAATTACAATTAGTATTAACACTGGAATGCAAGAGATGATGTGCAAATAGAGATACTGGGGTGCAAATGAGCAAAATAAATAACAATATGGGGATGAGGTAGTTGGGTGGGCTAATTTCAGATGGGCTGTGTACAGGTGCAGTGATCGGTAAGCTGCTCTGACAACTGATGCTTAAAGTTAGCGAGGGAGATAAGTCTCCAGCTTCAGAGATTTTTGCAATTCGTTCCAGTCATTGGCAGCAGAGAACTGGAAGGAATGGCGGCCAAAGGAGGTGTTGGCTTTGGGGATGACAAGTGAGATATACCTGCTGGAGCGCATACTACGGGTGGGTGTTGCTATGGTGACCAATGACCTAAGATAAGGCAGGGATTTGCCTAGCAGTGATTTATAGATGGCCTGGAGCCAGTGGGTTTGGCGACAAATATGTAGTGAGGACCAGCCAACAAGAGCGTACAGGTCACAGTGGTGGGTAGTATATGGGGCTTTGGTGACAAAACGGATGGCACTGTGATAGACTACATCCAATTTGCTGAGTAGAGTGTTGGGGGCTATTTTGTAAATGACATCGCCGAAGTCAAGGATCGGTAGGATAGTCAGTTTTACGAGAGCATGTTTGGCAGCATGAGTGAAGGAGGCTTTGTTGCGAAATAGGAAGCCGATTCTAGATTTAACTTTGGATTGGAGATTCTTAATGTGAGTCTGGAAGGAGAGTTTACAGTCTAACCAGACACCTAGGTATTTGTAGTTGTCCACATACTCTAGGTCAGACCCGTCGAGAGTAGTGATTCTAGTCGGGTGGGTGGGTGCCAGCAGCGTTCGATTGAAGAGCATGCATTTAGTTTTACTAGTGTTTAAGAGCAGTTGGAAGGCTACTGAAGGAGTGTTGTATGGCATTGAAGCTCGTTTGGAGGTTTGTTAACACAGTGTCCAATGAAGGGCCAGATGTATACAAAATGGTGTCGTCTGCGTAGAATTGATATACACTGAGAAAAGAGTCGGCCCAAGAATTGAACCCTGTGGCACCCCCATAGAGACTGCCATAGGTCCAGACAACAGGCCCTCCGATTTGACACATTGAACTCTATCTGAGAAGTAGTTGGTGAACCAGGCGAGGCAGTCATTTGAGAAACCAAGGCTATTTAGTCTGCCAATAAGAATGTGGTGGTTGACAGAGTCGAAAGCCTTGGCCAGGTCGATGAAGACGGCTGCACAGTACTGTCTATTATCGATTGTGGTTATAATATAGTTTAGGACCTTGAGCGTGGCTGAGGTGCACCCATGACCAGCTCGGAAACCGGATTGCATAGCGGAGAAGGTACGGTGGGATTCGAAATGGTCGGTGATCTGTTTTAACTTGGCTTTCAAAAACTTTCGAAAGGCAGGGCAGGATGGATATAGGTCTGTAACAGTTTGGATCTAGAGTGTCACCCCCTTTGAAGAGGGGGATAACCGCGGCAGCTTTCCAATCTCTGGGGATCTCAGACGTTACGAAAGAGAGGTTGAACAGGCTAGTAATAGGGGTTGCGATAATTTCGGCGGCTAGTTTTAGAAAGAAAGGGTCCAGATTGTCTAGCCCAGATGATTTGTAGGGGTCCAGATTTTGCAGCTCTTTCAGAACATCAGCTGTCTGAATTTGTGTGAAGGAGATGCGGGGGGGGGGCATGGGCAAGTTGCAGCGGAGGGTGCAGAGCTGGTGGCCGGGGTAGTGGTAGCCAGGTGGAAAGCATGGCCAGCCGTAGCAAAATGCTTGTTGAAATTCTCGATTATTGTAGATTTATCGGTGATGATAGTGTTTCCTAGCCTCAGTGCAGTGGGCAAAACTTTTTGGAGTTAGTGCTACAGGATGCAAATGTATGTTTGAAAAAGATAGCCTTTGCTTTCTTAACTGCTTGTTGGTTCCTAACTTCCCTGAAAAGTTGCATATCGCGGGGGCTATTTGATGCTAATGCAGTACGCCACAGGATGTTTTTGTGCTGGTCAAGGGCAGTCAAGTCTGAGGAGAACCAGGGGCTATATCTGTTGTTAGTTCTGTATTTTTTGAATGGGGCATGTTTATTTAAGATTAAGAGGAAATTACTTTTAAAGAACAACCAGGCATCCTCTACTGACAGAATGAGAGATATATCCATCCAGGATACCTGGGCTAGGTCAATTAGGAAGGCCTGCTCGCTAAAGTGTTTTAGGGAGCGTTTGACAGTGATGAGGGGTGGTCGTTTGACCGCCCAGGTATAGTCAATGTCTGCTTTTTTTTATTATTATTATTTATTTTTTACCCATCTACCAATAGGTGCCCTTCTTTGCGAGGCATTGGAAAACCTCCCTGGTCTTTGTGGTTGAATTTGTGTTTGAAATTCACTGCTTGACTGAGGGACCTTACGATTATCTGTATGTGTGGGGTACAGAGATGAGGTAGTCATTCAGAAATCATGTAAAATGCTATTATTGCACACCGAGTGAATCCATGCAATTTGTGACTTATTCAGCAGGTTTTTATTTCTGAACTTATTTAGGTTTGCCATCAGCTTTTCATTTCTTAATTAATTTGTAAAATATCTAAAAACATAATTCAACTTTGACATTATGGGATATTGTGCATAGGCCAGTGACACAACCTCAATTTAATCCATTTTAAATTCAGAATGTAACAACAAAATGTGGAAAATGTCAAGGGGTATGAATACTTTCTGAAGGCACTAAGAAGATATTTGAGTGACCGCTCGAACAATGGAAATATGTCCTCAAAGATGGAAGGCAGGCGGGAGGAGGCAAGATCAGGTGGGACCATTCTAGCCAATGAGAGGGCAGATACGTGTGTGTGAACAACAGGCCATAGAGATACAGTGGGGAGAACAAGTATTTGATACACTGCCGCTTTTGCAGGTTTTCCTACTTACAAAGCATGTATAGGTCTGTAATTTTTATCATAGGTACACTTCAACTGTGAGAGACGGAATCTAAAACAAAAATCCAGAAAATCACATTGTATGATTTTTAAGTAATTAATTTGCATTTTATTGCATGACATAAGTATTTGATACATCAGAAAAGCAGAACTTTATATTTGGTACAGAAACCTTTGTTTGCAATTACAGAGATCATACGTTTCCTGTACGTCTTGACCAGGTTTTCACACACTGCAGCAGGGACTTTGGCCCACTTCTCCATACAGACCTTCTCCAGATCCTTCAGGTTTCGGGGCTGTCGCTGGGCAATACGGACTTTCAGCTCCCTCCAAAGATTTTCTATTGGGTTCAGGTCTGGAGACTGGCTAGGCCACTCCAGGACCTTGAGATGCTTCTTACGGAGCCACTCCTTAGTTGCCCTGGCTGTGTGTTTCGGGTCGTTGTCATGCTGGAAGACCCAGCCATGACCCATCTTCAATGCTCTTACTGGCCAAGATCTCGAAATACATGGCCCCATCCATCCTCCCCTCAATACGGTGCAGTCGTCCTGTCCCCTTTGCAGAAAAGCATCCCCAAAGAATGATGTTTCCACCTCCATGCTTCACGGTTGGGATGGTGTTCTTGGGGTTGTACTCATCCTTCTTCTTCCTCCAAACACGGCGAGTGGAGTTTAGACCAAAAAGCTCTATTTTTGTCTCATCAGACCACATGACCTTCTCCCATTCCTCCTCTGGATCATCCAGATGGTCATTGGCAAACTTCAGACGGGCCTGGACATGCGCTGGCTTGAGCAGGGGGACCTTGCGTGCGCTGCAGGATTTTAATCCATAACGGCGTAGTGTGTTACTAATGGTTTTCTTTGAGACTGTGGTCCTAGCTCTCTTCAGGTCATTGACCAGGTCCTGCTGTATAGTTCTGGGCTGATCCCTCACCTTCCTCATGATCATTGATGCCCCACGAGGTGAGATCTTGCATGGAGCCCCAGACCGAGGGTGATTGACCGTCATCTTGAACTTCTTCCTTTTTTAAATAATTGCGCCAACAGTTGTTGCCTTCTCACCTTCTCTCTGCTTGCCTATTGTCCTGTAGCCCATCCCAGCCTTGTGCAGGTCTACAATTTTATCCCTGATGTCCTTACACAGCTCTCTGGTCTTGGCCATTGTGGAGAGGTTGGAGTCTGTTTGATTGAGTGTGTGGAGAGGTGTCTTTTATACAGGTAACGAGTTCAAACAGGTGCAGTTAATACAGGTAATGAGTGGAGAACAGGAGGGCTTCTTAAAGAAAAACTAACAGGTCTGTGAGAGCCAGAATTCTTACTGGTTGGTAGGTGATCAAATACTTATGTCATGCAATAAAATGCAAATGAATTACTTAAAAATCATACAATGTGATTTTCTGGATTTTTTAGATTCTGTTTCTCACAGTTGAAGTGTACCTATGATAAAAATTACAGACCTCTACATGCTTTGTAAGTAGGAAAACCTGCAAAATCGGCAGTGTATCAAATACTTCTCCCCACTGTAGATGGATGACTCGTCTTTGTATCTGTGCCACTATAGTGTCGGTAAACGCTACAATGGCGCTTCCCATGCGATCTCTTGGGTTTGGCGGTATCCAGATTTCCATACCTTCATACTGTGCCATACTTGGATATAAGGTATTACCAGCAGTGCACACAAGGGGTGCAATTTATTTATTTACTGGAAAAAATCCCCAACAAACGGCACTTACCAGAATGCTGACAAAATGCTAACAAGTACTAAGGAATCACCCATAGCGAATGCTAGGTAAATGCTAGTGACCGCATGCAAACATTTACTACTAAAACAGACAACCCAGCTCATACATTTATGCAATATCTCAAAGTGCAGTTTGCAGCACTCACAAAAAAATATTTTAGACAGCAGGGATCTTAATCCAGGAGGGGATTGTCTCTGCTGCTGTTACCAAGAAGCTTGATCTTTCAAGCTAAAGTTAGCCACTTAGCTAACATTATCAAGTTAGTAAAACAAAGATGTACCAAAATAAATTATTTCCAGGTTAACTTAATAGTTATAAGATATATATAGCTGGCAAACATTAGTGAATTTCATGTAACTTGATCACCTCATTTAAAGTGGGAATATGTAAATGTTTTGGTACCCGACCAAATTCACATAGATATGTGCGCTATTTTTATGCTTCCCTTTCTTAAGTTTTGTTTTTGCGTCTTTTACTTTCGGTTTTGTATAACAGCTTCAAACTGCTGAAACAATATTTTTGGTTATGGAAAATGCTGTATATTTCAGAGGTTTAGATGGTACAATGATTATCTACACTATACTAGCTTATTTTGTCACATAAACTGAAATTAGGCAAACTATTAGTTTTAGCAACCAGGAAATGGCGGAGCGATTTCTGCATAGTTGCACTGCAGGAGTGACTCACCTCACAAAGCTCCTGTTTTGCTTGTTGTGCTTCTTTGTAAACACTTGACTGGCTCAAACAGCTGTTTTGTGAAACTAGTACATGTAAGCTTCATAATGAAAAATTATGTAACAGGCAAAATGATGAATGCGATCTGCTTTATCTATTACCTTGTGCATAAGTTTAATGCAGATATTTATTTAAAAAGTACAAATATTCAAATTTATATATAAAAATAAACTACTCTATTGGAAAATCATACCGAGGGTATTTCGAAATACTCTGGATATGGTATACCGCTCAACCTTAGCTATCTCCATTTTAAAGTAGTCCATTTTCTTCTTCATTGGCTGATTGCTCCCAACTCAGGAATACCCACCCAGTTGTCTACTTTAAAATGGTGGAAGCCCTCAATGGCAATGCCCATGCTAAAACGGTTATATCTATGATGAGGCTCTGTGACAACAGGTACAACTCTGATATAAAGTCAATTTTGGGTAAGTTGCCGAAAGGCCACATGCTTCCACTTATATCAGTGTATTCGTAATAACCTAACCATTACAAAACTTATATTTGATCAAATAAGCATCACGTAGCAAATTAGCAATTACATTTTTTGTTGACCAAATTCGACACTTCGTGGGCTTATTTTTGTGGACAGATTTTGACTGGAGTAAAACCTCTCGCTTCGCGTCTTCCTCTCTGGGGGTCAAAGGGCACAGTGCAATTCTGAGGTTCCTATCAATTCCTATAGATGTTGCGGCCATTTCCCTCACATTAGTATTATCTAGGAGAACTCAATATACAGGCTAGCTAAAATGGTCTCCATTTGCCAGTTGAGCTGATGGTGATGCAGGGTCTTCACTCCCCTACGCACGGCAGCTCAAGCAAATCAATTGGGTTTAGCAGTTTGCCAGAGCAACACAATGAGTTACTCTCACCCCTCTCAAACAGTGGACTTCTTATTGGACAATCCTGGTCCTGCTTTTAACTGTTCAGATTCTTCATTGGTTTTCTTTCACTCTCTATTTTGGCTTGCGTTTGTATTTGTACAGTTACTGTGACTTGATAACCCAAAGATCTCCATTGTGTTTGTAAGTGTTGAAGTGCTGAAGAGATTTTAATTGTTAAAGGTTGAAGATAATCAATGTTGGGCTATTTTTTCAATGGTCCCTAACATTGGCACAATACTGGGTAATATGGAGTGTATAAAGGTATATTTTTCAGAACATGGGTTGAGGTGCCAAAAGCAACTTTATAATCATAAATGTGAGCTCTTACTGTGTCTTATATTGGATTGTGGACAAATTCCTTTTCTACTGTTCGATTTTTGTTTGTATGCCTCATTTTTATTTAAAATATTTATGAATCCTACACAATAAACATACTTTATCTGAATCTTCTGCATGTCGATTACCTCCATTTGTCATTGACTGACTCGTGTCTCTATAATGGTTATTGTATAGTAAGTATTATCTGAGTCTGTTGTCGGGCCATGTCCCTTTACATGGCAGCCTGTAATGAATGTGGAGCTCTCATAGCTCCCATCTCCTCCCTGCCGTGACTAGCATGTCTACCTGGAGACGAGATGGAACAAGAGACCGAGGTGACAAGACAAGCTGATATTGTCACATTATACCTAGCTTTGTCACAGCAATATCCTGTTACCAGGGGAGCCTGGCGTGTGGGTGTAGGGAGGTGGATACACTGACAGTGGTGGATCTACAATCTCATCTGTCTTCATTAAAAGCTACGCTCCACCACGGGAATAGGAGAATCAACATAGACAGCGCTGCTAATTTATGTATTCATCAACTTCGGTACATAAGCAGCTTTGTTTGTACCTGTTCCCCCATGACACACACAGCACACTCATTGCATCTCCTCACCGTGCCAACTTACAGTACAGTACTCAAACCACGCTGGTCTTTATCTGAAATGGTTTTATTTAAATATAAATATGTGTACAAAGTTACAAGCAACAATAGCTCATTTTTAGCAAATAAAATCCTTAATACATTATTAAAAAACAAACAATATGAACCAAACCAACAAATGGCAATTGGTTATGTTCCCAAAAAGCATAGTTAATCTTTCTGCATTCAGTGATTGATGAACAACGGGAAGAAAGAGAAGAATTGTGGACCCAAATAAAATCAATCAAGATATAGACTTATATGTATATATAATATAAAGGTACTTTACAGTAAAGCAGCTTACAAGCTGTACATTAAGGCTTATATAAAATATAAAAATAAAGACGAGCGATGATCTTTTTTTAAATCAGTTGGTTCACTTAGTGACGTTCTCCAATTGTGCCGACTGACCGGTCGCGCGGCTCTCGACACAAAATGGCAGTACAGGGTTCCAGTAGTGTCTGGAATCGGAATGCAACTGAGCCAGGTGCAGTAAGCAATCTCTCAAACAAGCATAATGGACATGGAAAAGAAATGCTGAAGAGTTTCACTAGACACATCATCTGCATGCAACAGAGAAAGAATGGGGCTTCTTCACCCATTTGTACAGTTGATCTAGTCAGTATTTTAGGGTAGTACTGTGTTTTTGTAAACATATTGAAGCTACTTGATTGTGTTGTAAAGACTGGAGTGTGGATGGTGTCTGAAGAGGGACAGTTTCACAAGTAGAACCCACCTTAGCCTGTTCACGTTGAGACAGTACCTCGAGCTTATTCAAGTTCAAGATTGCCACCATTTTACAAACCACATTCTCTGATTGTTCTGGAAATAGTCTCCATTTAGCAATCTGGCAAACAGAAGTAATACAGTACCCAGAGGAATTCATCTCTATCCCTAGCTCTTTCAATACACTGATATGTACTGTAGCTCACCATCTTTGGGTTTTTCCATTTCCTTTTCATGTCCACCAGGGTAGAATGATAACACATAGGCTGTCTCTCCATTAGGTGAAGGCTAGGATACACATTCTCTCCATATCTCCCTCTGCTTTCACTCCCCAGTAACCCACACAAGCCAAAGTTATTGTTTTGCAGAGTGGTTTATGACTGCCATTGTGGAGCTCAGGCTTCTTTTAATGGATAGAGACACTAATGTGCTTAGAATTCCTTTCGCATGCCGACAAACACCAAATGACCACAATGTGTTGATATTTTTTAATTTTTTATGAAGACGTCTGTATTTTTCTTTTTCGTTCATAGTCTGTTATAAGTTCTATTTGTCTGAGCATTCTGTTCCTTTTGAGAAATGTTAGCTAGGCTCCAGAATCCAGTTAGTTTAGGCCACCCAAAGTCATGAGATGTTCCTGTCTGGTGATTTCCAGTTTGCCTTCCTCCCATCCCCTCACTGGTAAAACAAAACCAGTGCCATAACAGAATAGCAGGCTCAGCTCTGATAGTCAAGTACCAGACACTGTAGTGGATTGTTTATTGATGGGGAATGTGAGTGGCACATCACAATCCATTGGGACTCCATTGGGACTCCATTGGGACTCCATTGGGACCATTCAATCCCCAAATGACAACTGAATAACAAATTAGGAAGGCAATCCCTGTCAACTAAATCTCCTTCCAAAATGTGTCCAGGAGAAGGACCAACCAACCAGTCCTCTCTCCTCATGTTAGTCTGGCCACACCTCCTATAGAGATGACCAATGCTTCCCCCTTCTCCCTCTGCGCTCCACCCCCTGTTTTCCGCTGTCCAATCAGACGTGAGTCTGCATGCGTTGTGATGGCCGTCCGTAGTCGGACTGCTGGGAGGAGACCTGCGATGATGCATAGGAGAAACGGGAGGAGCTAGACACCTTGCTGGCCTGGTCCGATTGATCGTAGGCGTCCACCTTCTCGTAGGAGGCGGGCTTGACATAGCTGGTGAAGGCCCGGCCGTATGTGGCGGCGGTGGGCAGGTAGGCAGAGCTGCTGTAGACGGGGTCGGTGGGGTAGATGGCTCCGGGCTGGGATGCTGCTGCCTGCTGGGCTGCTGCCTGCTGCTGCTCGTAGGTGGAGCGGGCCCCTGTGGTGGTGGCGTAGCGGTGGGAGAAGTCGTAGATGCGGGGCTGTGTGGCTGCCACCACTGTGTGCTGGCCGTACAGCGGACTGGGGGAGGGCAGCTGGGATGGCGTGTAGACAGGACGGGGGTTGGGCACGTAATCTGAGAAACCACTGCGGATAACCCGGTCCTCGTGAGCGTGCACGTTGTAGTAACCGTTAGTGGGGTCCTGAGGGGAGAGGAAATAACAACAGGGTTTTAAGTTGTTCAACCGCTTTTAAAGATACAGCATGTCTATAGAGATTTCAGACTTTTTCAAAACACCCAGCAAAACAGCCCATGCAACAAATGCTTGCAATATTTCCCATGCATGAATCATTGTATAAGTGAGTGTTTCTCCTTACGGTTTTTACCTTGATGTCGGACCGCTCGTCCTCGTCCTCCTCCAGCAGGTCACTGTGTTCCGTCCGGGACGTCCCAGGAGACTCACTGCTGTTGGGGGCCTGAGGGGGAAACAACAGGCCCTACAATTACAAAGGTGGAACATCTTAGACTCAGACGAACATGAGCAAGACAAAATGACTGTACTGTATGTTATCACATCATCACAGTGATGTACATTATAGATATCTGTTCTATAAAGATGAAATAGGTATTTGAAAACGTACTGAAAGTGATTGAACGGAGGCATTTACCATGGGCTCCTTGACATCCTCCTCATCATCGTTGCCACGGGTAGCATTGTGGTCGCTGTGCACAATCTGAACTCTGATGTCACTCTTTGAGAGACGTGTGCACTTTTTACCTGTGAGGATTCAATAGAAACATGTAATTTAGAAACAATTCTAAAACTGCTTTTCATGCCTGTTGCCTTTATAGAAAAGGATTTGATTGTGCTCCTTTCATGAAGTTGAAACTAACCATGTATCGCTAAGGGTTGGGGTCAGTTCTATTTCAAATTCAGTCAGTTCAGGAAGTGAAATTAAATTAAATTAGTCCACATTGATTGAAAAATATTGAGTGAACAGTCATTTACTGAATGTCAATTCATTTCCTTGAATAGGGTGAATTGACATGGAATGTAGCCCAACCCCGGTATGGCCCATATCTGACCTTCGACCTCACCTTTCCCGGTGTGCCTGCAGCAGAGAGAGACCAGGGTGACGACACAGATGAGCAGGACACACCCTCCGCCCACCGCCGCCCCAATGATGATCAGCATGGACAGGGCCTCTGTGAGGAGAGAGAGAGAGGAGGAGGAGGAGGAGAGGTGGAGAAAGAGAGAGGGGAGGGGGAGAGGAGGAGAGGAAATAGATAAGTGTCAGGATCTTGCTACTGATCAGAGAGAGACAGTGAAAGAGGCAGGAACAGATCCAGTCTGCAGAGCGTTGCTCCTCTCCTCTCCTCTGCTAACTCCACTCTACTCATTCCCCCCCAACTAATCTCTGCCAACGCCTGCTCCTATATAAATTCATCTGCAGTAAGCCTCATGGTCCCTCAGAAACACACACACACACACTCTTAGAGCCCCCTGCGTCCCCAGCTATTGTGTCTAATCTCTCTGGAAGAAGGGTAACAAGGCCTGACATGCAATGAAGCAATAGACAGTAATCTAATTAGAGATTCCAGGAGAGAGATACAGCGCAACGCTCAACTCTCCCGAGACCCCGGCTGAGCTGCCTTGATGTAAATTGCTGGCGAGGACCTTATTTTTGGTGTCTACTGCAACAAAGGCCTTCCTTCCTTACCTCCGTCAACTCCAGTGTGCAGAGTGTGCGGAGTGTGTGTGTGTGTGTGTGTGTGTGTGTGTGTAAATTGTGGTTTAAGTAAATTTGAAGAGGGTGGCTCTCACACATTTAGAGAGTGAGAGGGAGCTAAGGGACCGCCGGCGGCTCGGCCCCGGGACACCTGTGGCCTGATCTAATTAACTTGATTCCTCGATCGATATCTATGTTATGGGACCCAACTTATTCATTAAGGCCACCATCTGCTGATTAAATTATATTGATTAAAATAGTATAATTAAGATAAGCACTCAATTGGAGTTCTGCTTTGACCCCATCTAACCCCTCTCTCTCTTCCCAGCACTCTAGCCACAGTGCTCGTCTTAGTGAGATTGGTCATGCTGACTGTGTGAGATGTGGTGAGATGATAGATAATAAGGACACCTGTCCAATTCCTACCCGTACCTTGCTCCTTGAGGGTGACCAGCGCGGTGCCTGTGCCGAAGCGGTTCCAAGCGGTGCAGTTGTAGCGGAGCTGGAAGTCCTGGGCTAGGGTCTCAGACAGGACCAGGGAGGACAGGACCCCGTGCTCGCTGGTCACCGTCTGGACCGAGAAGCGACCGGAGGAGCCTGAGGAGAGTGTCAGGTCTCCAAACGTCCACACCTAGGGAGAGAGATGGGTGGATTTTAGAAATAGAGAAGCCTTATCCCCTCTAGCAGCGCTGTCAGAGCTCAGATCAACCACTACTTCCCATGCTTAGATCAATCACAGGTACCCTTTAACCAACCACCCTCCCTCTCTCATTCCTTCTCTCTGTTTTCCTCCCTCTCCATCCACCTGGCTGACATTGCTAAAGGCCGTACGTCTAAGCTGCCTCCCACGTCTTGCCCTGTAGGTAAGCCCTGTCAGCCTCTAAGCCCTGCTAGACCTGTGAGATTGTGTAAAATGCTCCTGACTGTGCTGAAGCCTCTCTCCTGCTGCTAGGTAAGGTCTACAGGGTGCCTGCCTCTCACTCCCCCTCAGACCCTAATTATCCTCTGTCAGAGCTGACCACGCACCCAGGGTCACCTGACGGGGTCAGCCCACCGAAGCCTGATGGATGCAGCGCTAATTGAGCCGGGGCTGTTTGGCTGCAGCCTGCAGGAGGTTCCGGCCCCCCCGTCTAGTTACCTATCTATTCTCTCTCCTTCTCCCTCTGTCTCTCCTTCTCCCTCTCTCTCATCCCCAATGAGTGGTGAAGGGATGAAGTGTGTGTGTGTGTGTGTGTGTAGGTGGGGGATTCAGTGTGCATTAAATGTGCACACGCATGTGTGCGCGAGCACATGCACACACACACACACACACACACACACACACACAAAACATTGAAACAGGAAAGACAGGAAAAGACAAGAGGCTCACTTACAATCTTGTCAGGCGGGGGGCTGTTTCCCACCAGGCACTCTAGCTTGCCCTTGGAGTGCTTGACAGCGTGCTGTGTGGCGTCCGCTGTAATGATAGGTGGGCCTGAAGATAGAGAGAGAGAGAGAGAGAGAGAGAGAGAGAGAGAGAGAGAGAGAGAGAGAGAGAGAGAGAGAGAGAGAGAGAGAGAGAGAGAGAGAGAGAGAGAGAGAGAGAGAGATTTTGAGACATTGGCACATTGGCACATTAAACACAGATGCATTGTCAGATGGTTGACTCATCTTATGCTTGTGTAAACATTCTACATTGATAATACCTAACGTGCATCTTTAATATTCTACATCTAAAAGTCAACCAAAAACCTAATGTTTAAAGTAGCATTAAATTAGCCCAATTTTCAGACAATTGAGACTCATATTATACTTTGACGTACCGTTGACGGTGAGCGTGACGTCCCTCTCAGCCACCCCGATGCGGGGGACGATGGCCTTGCAGGTATACGTCCCAGCATCCTCCTGGGTGACAGTCTTCAGCTGCAGGGTGTTGCCATTGCTGAGCACCTGGGGAGGGAGAGGAGGGGATGGAGGGAGGGAGAGGGGAAAAGAGAGAGAGAGGGGTGGACAGGAGGGATAAGAGGAGAGGGAGGGGAGAGAGAGAGTGAGTGACTCTTTAGCAGCAGTTCATTGGGGCAGTTGTTGCAGCAGTACGGATGTGGCCGAACGGACAGTCTCTCCAGCTCCTACACTCAGTTTCAGTTTCATTTCATCGTGGTGACAACACTGTGGCTTTAATCACAGACATTAAGCACTCCAGCCACTGCTGCTCTAACTTAACTCCAGCTACAGCCAGGCTCCTCTGGAGTGACCATGCTGCTGTGGAGATTGTCCTAATTAAACGTTGCCGGCAGAGCATAACGTTATCATGGTGTGAGTGGGCCTTAGCCTTTAGAGGCTGCTACAGTTCGCCTACACTTGCGCACTCGTTAGCGCATTGATCTCACCATTCCATCAAGCTGTGATTAATCCATTTACTCTCCCTCCCTCCCTCCCTCCCTCCTTTCACTCCCACTCTCCACTTTTTATTCAACCACACTTATAGAGTAACCCAATTAATCCATTACTGGTAGCTGTGTGAGGCGTGGTGGCCGTGGTGTGTGTGGATTAGAGAGCACTGCCTGTGTTATTTTCTTCCTGAGAGCGTTGGTTCACTCTGGGAGATGGAGATGACAGCATGGCTTTTACAGCATCGCCTGCTGTCCTGCAGCTCTTTTCTCTTTAAGTGGTGACGTTTTTTAGTAAAAGCTGCCTCTGAAATCTGATTAAACACCGGGAGAGAAGCTCCCTGGAGATGTAGCTAGCGCTGATAGTATTGCCTGGGGTGGGGTGGGAGACCTTTAACCAGGATGATGCAAACTAAAGATGGAACTGGGCCATTTGTAGGCTACCTCACATATTCCTCCCTAGATGTTCTTTGTGTTGAGTCTTGGTCTGGGTTGAGGAGCGGTTTGAGAAGCTGTTCTCGGAGTGGGATGTGAAATGTGTCGGCTGGTTCTTAACTAGTGTGTCTCAGCTGTTGACGTGATTGATTTAGTGGTCACGTTGTTATGACAGAGTGTCACCTCCCCTGCTGTCAGCAGTATGTGAACCTGACAGTCATCACACACACTGCCTCTGAAGGTTTAGCTCTGATTTCTGAGGGCTTTCTCGCATTACACACACACACACACACACACACACACACACACACACACACACACACACACACACACACACACACACACACAGTATAAGTATTGATTGAGCTAGTTGTCTTACCACGCTGGAGCCCTGTTTAGTCCAGGCTAGGGTGAGGGGAGGGTTGCCTGTCCAGGTGCAGGTGAAGGCAGCATCCATCCCAATGTCCACCTTCATGGGCTTGGGGTCCGACAGCAGCCTGGGACCAACTGTAGAGGAGCCCAGGACACCATCAGAACTAATACAGCCCGTATTCACCATTCAATTAAATATGACTTAATCAATCTCCTAAGGCATTGTCAAAGCACAATACACAGCATCCTCCAAAGACACTATAACTCTTATGACGAGGGTGAACGTGTTCACAGACACACTACTGGGATTACACTACAGGCTACTAGTACTATGATACAGTGATGTGCTCCACTCACATTGTACATCCACCAGGGTGCTGACGTTGGTGCTGCCCACTGAGTTGGACACCTCACAGGAGACAGGGTCTGTGAAGTACGAGTGGTCTACCGTCACCTCCAGGCTGTCCCCGTTCACCTCCGAGATGGGGACTCCTCCCTTGGACCACCTGGACCACCAGATCACCACATCACATAGGGTTAGAAGGTCAATTTACCAGATCACATTGGGTTAGAAGGTTAATTTACCAGATCACATAGGGTTAGAAGGTCAATTTACCAGATCACATTGGGTTAGAAGGTCAATTACCAGATCACATTGGGTTAGAAGGTCAATTTACCAGATCACATAGGGTTAGAAGGTCAATTTACCAGATCACATAGGGTTAGAAGGTCAATTTACCAGATCACATTGGGTTAGAAGGTCAATTTACCAGATCACATTGGGTTAGAAGTCAATTTACCAGATCACATAGGGTTACAAGGTCAATTTACCAGATCACATTGGGTTACAAGGTCAATTTACCAGATCACATTGAGTTACAAGATCACTTTGGTTTACCAGATCATATTGGGTTACCAGGTCACTTTGGGTCACAAGATCATTTTGAGTTACATGTGCCATAATGATAAAGTCAAAACTGGCCCAACTAAAAGGCTAATAGTGCCATAATAACGCAGTACACACTTGACTCTATGAAAGAAATTAACCCAATAAAGTGTAGGTTGAGGTGCTGTTTTTTTACCTGTATCCTGTGATCTCAGGGTTGGCAGAGGCAGAGCAGATGAACAGAACCTTGGCTCCCTCCATGACAGTCTGGGGCTGGACGGACAGGGTCACTGATGGGGGGTCTGCAGGATGGAGGGGAACACACAACATTACTGAGAGGTGAACATAATATATGCCATATATATATCACTATGGACGATCCTACAGTATATGACAGTATATGAAGGCTAAATATGTGTCAGTGAAGGGAGAAGGAACAGGACAGCAGTACTAAAGGAAGCTCTGTGAACACTGGAGGTATGTGTCACTGAGCTAGGACCTATATGAAGGGGTGTGTGTTTGTCACAGAGAGGTTAGTGTATGAATCATTGAAGGGTGAGCGAGTGCATGTGCAGGCATGCAGAACTAACCACTCTTCCATTAACTCTAAAGTGGTGCTGAGGTGAAATGTATTTTTTCAACCAAAGCCTTCAACTAATGCCTAAAGTATTTAAATACATATATTATATATTATATATGTGTATAGGCTACTTCCTAGTCGTTATTGGCAGTATATTTGTCACTATAAACATTTTTCCTTCTCTGAGTTTAACCTATAGGACTATGTCCCAATATCCACACTAGCATACTAGAGTCCATGGACAATACATCAGTACATACTAAGTAGTATGCAAGTGTGATAGTTGGTATTTTGAATGTATCTGACTCTGTATTCTCCGTCCTCTGACAGAGTGTTGTACCCGAGGTGTGTCCCCATCACTGGGACGAGGACACTACAGTGTTGTAGCCGAGTGTGTCCCCATCACTTGGACGAAGACACTACAGAGTGTTGTACCCAGGGTGTGTCCCCATCACTGAGAAGAGGACACTACAGAGTGACTGTAGGGGACACTAAGTGCCACGGAGGACACTCACGCTGGACGTTGATGGTGACGGAGGTCTGGAGTCCGGCGGGGGCGGCAGGGTTGAGGACGCGGCAGGTGTAGGTACGGCCAGAGTCCTTGTCCTCCGGCACCACAGGAAGCATACTGACAGCCAGCTCCCTCTTCCCGTCCTCCATCCGCGTCTAGAGAGAACAGACCAGAGACATGGAAATAAGACACTGTACATCTCAATGGTCAAGACATACAAGAGACATGCAGAGGGAGTTATGAGTCCTTATTTCACCTCTTGGGTTAGATCCATGAATTAATGTACTTTGGTCCCTAAAGTGACAAAGGGGTTTAAATAGGGAAGTAAGGTATAGAAAAGGTATAGCTTCATATAAGGCCCTGCTGAGTCTTCCCCCTCTGGGTGTCTGTGTGACACTGCAGGACCTATCATTCTGACGTGTGAGGCATTCAAACTGCCATCCAGTCCATTGGCATGGCGGTTAAATCATATATTTTATGATGCGCCTGGGGATATTGTGCTGTTCCCACATTTCTGAGAGTGCTCCCAGTCAGCGCTCCTTGTTTGTCATCATCTTTGAGATCTATTTATTGCTCGCAGGAATCAATACGCCTAAGTGAGGAAAGGGGTAGATTCTGGAGATATCGCCCGTCGCTTTTGAAGCACACACAAAAACACTCATACACGCACGCACACACACACACACACACACACACACACACACACACACACACACACACAGGGCTGTCAGACAGTGTGCAGCAATGGCAGAGGTGGCTGTGTCTGTATTTCTGGGCTGTAGCGGTGAGGAGGGGGGACCGGGGGAGGGTTGTCTCACAGGCAGCTCTGGGAAAGAGCAAGGGCAGAGAAGAGCAGAGCCCATTCCCTGGACGGACGGACGGACAAACAGACAGCTGAATCAATGGACCGGGCTGTTCACTTCCTCAGCCAGACACACAAAAAGCATTTTTACGCTAGATCGAGTCGCATCACTCCCTGTCACCACCCCTCACTCTGCCCCAAGCCACCTCTCCCCCTCTCTACCTCTCCCTCCCCTACTCTAGCTTTCCCTCTCTCTAAAAGCACCTGTTTTCTTTCTTTCAGCTAACTGTATCTCAGTATCTCCCACCATTACTTTACTCCTGCTTTCTCTCTCCCTATCTCTCTCTCTTCCCTCCTTCCCCCCTCCTTTTCTCCACTGTGGGCCCTAGCCTCCTTAAATGTGTTGTTTAGCGTAGTTTAGCGTGGTCAGAGAGCATGACAAATGTGACACTTTCCCGACTGCGGCTGGTTCATGCTCTGGCACATCCCCCCATTGTGTTTCGGCATTGTTGTGGGTGATTTCTCCTCGGCAGAAATTCTACTCTATCAAACGCTCATGCCTGTCTGAGCTTTGGCATGCTCCAGTTATGCTGTAGTGTCTGTGCTTTAGAGTGCGAGGGGAGGGGGTAGTAGGGGAGAGAGGAGAGGGGTTCAGGCGTGAGTGAAAAGGGGAGGGGGACTGCAGAGAGGGAGGTAGGGAGAGAAAGAACAAGTCCTGAGAGAGAAAGAGAGAGAGAGAAATAGAAAAGAGAATAAAGAAAATACAGAGAAAGCAGAGAAACGGAAAAGGAAGAGTCGGCTTCTGTATTCAGCCCTGAGAGAAAGTTGCTGCATTTTGAGTAGCTGCTGTACGCTGGTGTAGCCTGCTTCGCTGGGCTCTGCTGTGCTCTGCTGTGCTGGTGTTGTGTGGGTGTTAGTGGATCCTGGTGAGGTTGGGTATGGCCCTGCTCTCTCTAACCTGCCCTGGCCTCACCTGTTATCTGATTGTGCTGTAGTCTATCTGTACCTTGGAGTATATGGCCGTGTCCATGACCTCGCCGTCTCTGTACCAGGTGATCTCGGCAGCAGGCTTGGCCCCCGAGGCACGGCAGGTGAGGTTGTAGGGCGTGTGGGCCTTCACACGTATGATAGGACCCCCCTCCACCACCGGGTCTGTGGGGGGAACTACAGGGAGAGGAGGAGGAAACACAACGGATTCATGTTAGAGGAGAGAAACAACCCACAAAACTAACAGCCCCTTTTACAGTACCAGGCTTCTGAATGGGAGGAACATCTAATGAGATTAATGTGATGTGTTAACGCTGCATCAATTCATCCACTGCACATAGAGAAAACAATATCCTTTTATCATCGTGCTGGTTCACGAGGTGTGTTTGTACTTTGTAGACTGGAATGGAAACCGACAACATTTGGGCATGAGAAGAAAAAAAGAGAAGAGCTTCAAACCTATTTCATTTTCCTTCTTAACATTGAGACTGGCATTAGTCCTCTCTTTTACTCCCACTATTGCCCAGTGATGTTTCATCTGAATAGCTTATTTGTTCATTTATTTGCATGGTTTCGCTGCTGTCAAGCAGAGCCACCGCTGATGAAGGCGTCTATCTCCCCAGCCAATAACAGCAGGCGTAAACAGCAGCGGGCCTGAGCCCCGGTCTATCTCTCTCTCTTACTCCCTCCGCTGAACCAATTTCTGTGTGTGTATCTGAATTGTCAGAGGTCCTTCCGCCACCGCGGCCCGGACACTAATGGAATCCGAGTGCTAGGTGATTTTAATTTCCATGCCGATTCCCTTGGCTGCTCTCCCGCCGTTGACTCCTTTGACTGCGCCGGATTGCTTTGGTCTCATCTGGCTGCATCGATTTCCCCACACTCACGCACACACACACCTCAAGACCCCTGCCTGATTTGCTCCTCTCTTAGTGGGGACATTCTACAAGGCATTAGGAAACAACATCTACCGCCTTTTCTGTCCACAAAGGCTGAGGTCAGTGTGACCGCGGTGGTGGCTCACGCTCACGCTAACCAATCAAACAGTTCATCCTCGCCCACCTCCACTCTGTGCTGTGCAGTGCGGGCGTTGTGAAGCAGGGTTTGAGTGGGTGTATGTGGGTGTGATCTCTATTGACCGCGCTGCACTGTGCTCCTTTGAGCGGCGTGTGGTCGTAGGAACGGAGAAGAAGTGGAGACAGTGGATAGTCAGCGGAGCATGGCCCAACGCTGAGTCAAGCCAATTAGAGCAGTTTTCCTCATCATGGGTCGTTTGAATTCACATGATCAGCCTTTCATTCGCTGCCTTTTCTTCTCCCCCTCATCTCGCTGCTTAAACGAGCTCATAAAATGACAAAAACAAGCAGGGCGGTGGGGAGACAGTACAGTAGCCTAGCCTTGTTGTTGGTGCGTAGAGCTGAGGCTCCAGTCTCTTCTGTAACTGTCTCTCTGCTTTGTTGGGTGTATTTGACAGATCATCAGAGAGACGCTCAGTAAAGACTAATGAATGTGCTGCGGACTGTTCCCCCATTCGCCACCAGGTGCCAGCAGTGTTTCACTGTCTGGGAGTCCCATGAGGGGCCTCCCTCTCTCTCATCCCCCCCTCTGCTGTTCCTCTCTCCACCACCACCCTCCACTCCCAACCTCTGGATGCCTGGTGAATATGTAGATCACTCACATTGCGTTAATGTAAAAGCTGCCCCACGCTTGACAAATATTGTGACTCACTGTAAAATGTGCTAACTGTGCAGAACTTGACTTTTAAGTGTCCACACAAGTCATTTGTGACTGCAGCAATCACATTATCCTAGACTTCCACAGTCTTGATTATCGATACTGAAGGGAAAACAGTTTTTTTTGCTGGGTCTGTCGACTGTTTTGCTGGTTTTGAAAAATATTTACAGGGCTGATATACGGCAGTAAGTACATTTTCCAGGTGTTATTTGTGAAAGCTGATAACAGCAGGTGATTTCATAAACAGTCCCAAGAAAGATACATAGAGACCTTGAGCATTTTAAACATGTGTGTGTGTGTGTGTGTGTGTGTGTGTGTGTGTGTGTGTGTGTGTGTGTGTGTGTGTGAGTGAGTGTGTGTGTGTGTAAGTCTGTCTGAACCATAATGAAGATGGGAGCCTGACAATCTCCCTCTGTAGAGCCAACCTGCAGGTTTTGGCTGGAGGACTGCTGTGCGGATCAGGGTGTGTGTGTGTGGTGTGTGTGGTGTGTGTGTGCAGCAGCTGTGTATCTTACCTAGAACAGTGAGCTTGGCTCGGTGGGAGCGCAGCCCGGCCTGCGTAGCCTGACACTCGTACACGGCGTCATCCGCCAGCTCTGCCGAATCGATCAGCAAGCTGTGCTCGCCTGATAGCGGGTCGCCCATTAAGGAGTAGCGTGTCCACCCTGCATTAAGCCAACACAGGGAATACAGTGAGTCAGAGAATGGGAAAGAAAACAAGAAAACAACAGCAGAACAACAAACCCAAACCGGAATGAAAAGACTGCAAAATGAGCAGACTCACACCACAAACAAACGCCAAGGGCCTTTAAGGTATAAATGGAGGTGGTGCTGTACCACCCCCGGTTAAGCACTGAGCCGTTCAGTTGGCTGAGCAGCGAGAGACTGGCTAGGGGAAGGCAGCAGCAACACGTGAGACAGAGGGCTGGGGCGTGAGGCGACTGACTGTCCTTTAAATCACAGACACAATCAAGATGTAGTGTCTATGGTCAGCCCCGAGCCTCTCCACCTTCCCACTAGTCCAGAACACAGCTAAATGTCAGTGCGTGACACCAGCCAATTGATTATCCACCTTGGTACAAAAGCCTCAAAATGCTAAACAACAAATGAAACGCTCTGTGTCTGTTTGTGGTAGAGAGGCTGTCTGCAGTATATTTGTTTCTCTCCACTTCCATTCATTTGAGTAGACAGACAGACAGAGAGCCAAGGCTTCCTAATGAGACCAGGAATTGATCAGGGGGGAGAGAGTGAAGTAGGGGAGTGAGAGTGTGAGTGAGAGAAAGACAAAGAGAAAGAGAGACAGGGGGGGACAGAGAGAGAGACACACAGAGAGATGTTCGTCAGATCAGATGCGTACCTGGCAGATCTCTCTCTCCGCCCAGCGCCAGGCCGTCTTTGGTCCACTGCACCATTCCCCGGTACCCCACGATGACACAGGGCAGAGTCACTGATTGGCCAGACACCACTACCTGGTCTTGGGGCTGCTGGGAAAAGTAGGCTGCTTGGGTAGCTGTTGGAAGAAGAGGGAGAAGAGGTTTGATGAGTAACATGTAATGATATAGTCTAATAGCGTTACTTGAGCCAAATGCATGGCCATATTTAGCCTGGCCCCATAATGGACTGGCCTGTTCATTCTGTTGTTTACGTGTTGTCATGTCGTTACATGGGGTGGATGGAGGAGGCTGAATATCTGTCTTTTCCCTTTAACATGGCGGCTGAGCTGAGCAGGAAGCGTCAGCTGCCTCATGACTTATTTAACCTCTTTCCCCAGACCATATGGCAGCGACACGAAACAAGCACACTGCGGAGGAGAGAAATCTGCCACTCTTTGGGGGAGCTTTTTGTTAAAATGGATGTTAAACAATCAAAACTCCATTAAGTGTCCCGGGGGAAGCATCCGTCTGAGCCTGCTGAACGTCAACCAAGACACCTGCCTCTGTCTGTTCCATAGCTGTGTTTAAGGACTGGACACACACACTGAAAGCTGTTGGCTCGCCTTCACTCACACACACTGGAATACACACCCACACTCGCAACACACATTTACATTTTAGTCATTTAGCAGACGCTCTTATCCAGAGCAACTTACAGTTAGTGAGTGCATACATTATTTTTCATACTGGCCCCCCGTGGGAATCGAACCCACAACCCTGGCGTTGCAAACGCCATGCTCTACCAACTGAGCTACATCCCTGCCGGCCATTCCCTCCCCTACCCTGGACGACGCTGGGCCAATTGTGCGCCGCCCCATGGGTCTCCCGGTCGCGGACACACACTTGCATCGCAACATACGACTCCTTGTTTCCCACTGTTTGTGCCACGATGCTGGAGATTGAGTATTACAAACCCAACTGGCAGGGGAAGATGATGGCTCCCCTCCAGAGGTAGAGCTAATCCATTGGGGGAGATATGAAGAGAGGAGAGGGCTGAGAGAGAACCGAGTTGGTTGACTAGATAGAGAAGAGAAAGAGGGGGTTTATCTTTCCCTTAAAAGAAAGAACCTTAGTTTTTTCTATTTTCTCTCTCTCTCTCTCTCTCTCTCTCTCTCTCTCTCTCTCTCTCTCTCTCTCTCTCTCTCTCTCTCTCTCTCTCTCTCTCTCTTCTCTCTCTCTTTCTCTCTCTCTGTCTTTCAATAGGAGAATGGGGGGCCAGGGGGAAGATAAAGAGGGGTCTATTCAGTCAGTGTTAAGCCCCTCTCCAATGGTTCTCTGGGTGGGAGTGCTTAAACAGACAGGCTGGGGGGTTGGGGGGCTCTCCTGGGTAAAGAAAAGCCGGTGAAAGGAAGGCAACATACGGCGGCCAGAGAAACGCTATTGTCCCCTTGTCCCTCTCTTTTAATAGGCCTCTTCATTTCCAATCAATCCTGCTAAATGCAAGTTTAATAGCTTTTCAATAGCAGATTTTCCCCACCCGAGGGAAGCTAGGATTTTCTCTCTCCTTCTCAACCCGCTCACCCCTGTCCTCACTCTTCTCTCTCCCTCTCCCCTCTCTCTCTCTCACTCCATTATTCTCTCTAGCTTTTCTTTCTTTTCAAAGGGGGCTTCTGAGGTTGGTTGGCGATGTTTGTTCCCTACTCAATTATCCACTTCATCTAGGGCTGGACCAGGACCACTGACTGAACCCGGTTCTTCTCCTCCTCCCCCTCTTCCCTAACCTCCCTCCCTCCCTCCCTCCCGCACGCACGCATAATCAGACCCGCCAAACGGTTAGCCCATCAGGAACGTGAGTTCTTCCATGGCTCAAGCCTTGCAGCTTGCAGCTCTCCTAACACCAACTGCTTTCCCACATGTCTGCCCAAGCACTCTCCTCCTTTCTTCTCGTTTAAGGGGAGAAATAGAAAGAAGAATGGAGATAATCATGTATAATAGCAGTGAATATCACCAGGAAAGTCCACTAACCCCAATTCCCTTCATATTGCTAATGTGTTTAAACAAGCATATCAAACTGTGTGTGTGTGTATGGGCATGCAGGTGTATTCTTGTGTGTATGTGTCTGTGTCATAGACTGCATATCAAAAGAGTCCAATTTGAGTGTCAATGAGTAGTGAAATGTTTTCGTGTTTAGGCTATTAAGCATTTGGTGAAGTCTGGCATTTTCTAGTCATGCCTTCAAAACCGCTGCTTTTATAGGCTGTCTGTCCCTAATGTTCCGCTTTTATGAGCTATATTGAGCATTTTCATAGGCCGCTCCGCTAGATGGTGCGTTGGGGATTTTCCTCTTTATGCTTGCTGCAATATAAACATTGATTGCAATTAAGTATCTTGCCCACAGTATCTAAATGTTTACAATGGGCCATAATTTATCGCACTGGTGGGTTGTTCGAAATAGATTACATCCGTTAAATTGTTTCTCTCGCTCTCTCTCTCTCTCTCGCTCTCTGTCTGTCTGTCTGTCTCTCTCTCTCTCTCTCTCTCTCTCTCTCTCGCTCCATCTCGCTCTCTCTCTCTCTCTCTCTCGCTCTCTGTCTGTCTGTCTGTCTCTCTCTCTCTCTCTCTCGCTCCATCTCTCTCTCTCTCTCTCTCTCTCTCTGTCTCTCTCGCTCGCTCTCTCACACACACACGCACACACACACGTATGGGTACATGTTTATATATAGCCTGTGTGATATAGACTGACAAATTGCTTCACACCACGGAGTGATTCATTGCACTCCATATTCCTTATTGAGAATGCTCAACAAAACATATCCACTGGCTAATGAGTCATTGCATATTCCTTTAATTCCTCCTTGCTGAATTAGTCAATTCCTTGACGGTGTATTAGCAGCTTAATTACATGAATACATTTCTGACAGGGAAGAGGGAGAAAAGAGAGGAGAGGACAGGAGGGGAAAGGGGAGGAAATGAGAGGAGAGGACAGGAGGGGAGGAGAGGAGAGGATAGCAGGAGGGAGGAGAGGACAGGAGAGGAGGGATAGGAAGGATGGGGAGATGAGAGAGGACAGGAGGGGAGAGTAGGAGGGAGGAGGAGAGGAAGAGGACAGGAGGTCTTTTTTCCTTGTTTCTTACCGTTGGAGGGATAGAGGACGAGGGGAGAGGACGGAGAGAGAGAAAGGAGGGGAGGAGAAAAGGTCTAGGGACAGTCCCGCCGTTGGTGTGATGGTCCTTGTGTGTCTCTGTCCTCGTCTCTCTCTCCCCCCTGCTTCATACACCTCACCTACTCATAGGGACCCTTGTCATTGCTTTGAAACTACACTGAAAGTTCTGCTGTGAAAGATAATGATGGGGTTTATTGTTTTAAACACCTTATCGAGGAGGTGTGTTTGTGTCTGTGTGTGTGTATGGTACAAGTTCTGCTGTGAAGATGTGATGGGTGTTGTTTTCAAAAAGTGTGTGTGTGTGTGGTGTGTGTGTGTGTGTGTGTGCGTGGTATGTTTGTGTGTGTGTGTGTCCATCCCTCCAGTAACAAGGTCAAAACACATTTGGCCCGATACATTTTAATCCCGATTTATACGAACTGAATATCTTTTCACGGCAGTGGATGCACAGGGGGGGGGTTAGTGTGTGTGTGTGTGTGTGTGTGTGTGCCTCTGAGTGTGTGTGTGTGTGTATGTTTGTTGCAGTATAAATAGGGCATGCAACTTGTAATGAATTGGAGGGCACATTTAGCAGTTACTTTGACATAGTGACTTTGCTTTCTCCGTCACACGGTCAGAGTTAAGTCCAGAACAGCAGGGCTGACATGGAGCATAACATATTAAAGAGCTTTGCAGTCCCCTGGCACCAGCCTTCCTCTCTCTCTGCCATCTGAACGGATGGGGAGGGAGGCACACTGCTGGTAGTGGGGACAGGATGGACAGATGTCTCCAATGATCCGCTACTGGGAATCTGCACTGGGGACTAACATGGCCTTGATGGAATTATGGGGAAGTGTGTCTGTGTGTGGCAATGTGTGTGTGTGTCCTGTTCTATTCTCAGTGCAGTCAAGTTAAGTAGTGGATGTGACCTTTGGGTGCACTGTGGCTAACTATTGAAAGCAGCAAATCACTCTAATCATAATCTTTCATGCCAACATGTGTACCCCCCCCCACACACACACACTTTATGTATATTTATACACTTAAGTGAGACTCAACAGCCAACTTCAGCTACACAGGCTCCGCTTGGTTATACAATGACACTTAAAGTGTGTGTGTATGTGTGTGCGTGTGTTTGTGTGGAGACTCATGCTAAGAGGTTCTGAGCTCAGTCGAGGCAGGAACAGTTTCTATTTTAGGATCATCTTGAGTGTCCCCTCTTCCCATCCACTGAAGGCCGGCTCTAGAGTGCACCGCCCCAATCTAACAGGCTCTATAAACATGAGTGCTCTCATCTTGACTGGGCAATTGCCCCATGCAGTAATAATTTTAAAATGACAAAAAAAATATAACCAAATATCTACTGGTGTCCTGTACACTCTGCTCTCCCAGTGGCAGTAGCAGTGTTCTATGTCTCAGTGGTGCTGGTGTGGATATTCCACAGTAAAATACAGAATAAGAGGGGGAGGAAACACAAGCAGGAAAAAAAGAACACAAAACAATCGTCAAAAAAGTGTCACGCTCAGAATAAACAAGCTCTCTCCCCAAATACCATCTATTGTACTGTGTCTAGATAAGGCCTCTAAATCGGGCTGCAAAATGCAAGCTCCATTTCTCTGTACTGAATGGTTATCCTTTTGTTTTGACTCAGGCTCTTTTGTCTTCCTCTCATTGTCTCTTGCTGTATGTGTGTGTATGTGCATATGTGTGTGTTTGTGTGTGTATATGTGTGTGTGAAAGTGTAAATATCCTGCTGTGTGTGTGAGCATGTTGTAGAACGATAGCACATAATGCTGAGGCAGCTGAGCTAAATTTGTTTCAATGGGGTCCCTGCTCCCTCCAGTCTCAGGTCTGATTGGGCCAGGCTCACTGTAATCTCATTACTGTGTCTCCTACAGGAATTGTGTGGACTTGGGAGGAAAGCGAGCAGAGGATACCACCCACCACCCAAACACCACTATAGTCCTATAGTCTCCAGACACAGACACAGGCTGAATCTGTGACCGCCTGCATCTGCTTCTCTGGTCTTCAGACC